AAATGGGCAGAAGACCAGCAAGATGCTATAGAGTTAGTAATGGTAAACCATTCCCCAAGTCCAGATATAACAGAGGTGTTCCAGATGCTAAAATTAAGATATATGATGTAGGAAAAAAGAAGGCTAATGTTGAGGAATTCCCAGTACTTAATAATTAATATGAATTAGGCTGTTATTCACATTGTTTCAGATGAAAAGGAATAAATTTCATCAGAAGCCTTAGAAGCATGCAGAGTTGCCATCAATAAATACATGATTAAGAAAGTCGGAAAAGATGCATTCCATCTTAGATGCAGAGTTCATCCATGGCACGTACTCAGAATCAACAAAATGCTTTCATGTGCTGGTGCAGATAGACTTTAAACTGGTATGAGAGGAGCCTTTGGTAAACCAAATGGTTTATGTGCCAGAGTTAAAATTGGTAGCATTCTCTACTCTTTGAGATGCAAAGATGCTTCAATTAATCATGCTATGGAAGCATTGAGAAGAGGAAAGAATAAGTTCCCAGGAAGATAAAAGATTGTTGTATCTGCTAAATGGGGTTTCACAAACTATTTCAGATCTGACTATCTCAAATATAAAGCTAATGTATTAAAATAATATCATATTTTAGGATGAATTATAATACTACGGTGTTCACGTTCAAAAATTGAGATAACATGGTCCATTGGAAAAATTAAAGATTTTCTAAGCCCTAAGAAAATGATTTGTTGAAATAATCATATAATATAAATATAGTAAATTATTTTATTTATTTAATGTCCTTTTTGCAATATCAAAATCCAAATATTGCAAAAAGTAATAATGATATTAATATTAATTAAGAAAACTCAGGATTATCTTCAATGATTACTTCTCTGGATCTGAAAATTATTTTACTACCACTTAAATTGCCCACTGCTAATCTAGGAATAGTGCCTTCATCAAGAAATCTTCTCCTTCTATGATTAGCTACATTTGGATTTATGATTTTAGCTGTTACAGCAAAACCATTATTCTATTCTCCTTTAATAGCTAATTTTACAGTGTATATTATTTAACCTTCACCTACAACAGTCTCCAAAATAGGTAATTCTACTAGAGTTCCTTTTCCTTATAATTTTACATAACCTTTTTCTAATTTCCAATTTTTAAGATTTTCATTTAAAATTGTCAACCTCACTTTAAATCTTTAATTAAGAACTAAAGTTATTTTATCTGTTGTCCATTAACAATCATTTGCATTTTCACAATAATCAATTTAAGATTCTATAGAAATAGCCAATGCAGGTGGATTAATAATTTTAGGAGGTTCTTACAAACTTGTAATACTTGAATTTGAATAATCAATAGTAGCAATCCATTATTTTTCATACATAATCTGCTCATTATAATAAATATTAAAATAGAAAGAGCATGTATAAATATTGGAATTTTAACTTTAATTGCAGTTAGCATTTTTAATATTTTATTAATCTAAGATTAATTTAGCAGTTGATGCTGACTCATATTAGAAATCTAATTCTGTAAATTTTCTGTCATCCATATCTAAGGTTACCCATTAAGCTGGCCAACATCCTTGAAAATCATAACCTGGTATATTAATTGTAGCTAAATAAGTAGTTGCAGTCATACTCTCTACCAAGGAATCTTTTTCATAAGGGATAGACTTTTCTAAACTCTATCCACAATCTTCTTTATAACATTTACCGTCAAGCCATCTGTAAGGATTAGAACAATTTGTGCAATCATAAAAAGATGTGCATTTATCACATTTGGCTGTGCAATTATTATTATAATACACAACTATTTTAGTAATATAATATGCTCCTTCCTCATCTTTATTATCATTTATGAAATCTTAAAATATTAAAGACATTTAAGTTTAATTTTTACCTATTAATGTAGATGATGGAACACTATATCTAATCTAAAAATATACATATTAAAATTACTGTTTTCCAATCATTAAGAAGATCTTGTATCTAAACAGATTAATCTTTTGGACATAAGTATACTGGATTATTGTTATCTGTTGTTTAATTAAAAAAGTCTCCACCATACTTATACCCTGAAGCAAACCAACAATATCCACTTTTCATTTCATTAGTATAACCAACAAATAATCCAGAATAAGATCCTCTATTTTCGGTGGATTTTGTTAAATATTTAAATTCTATTGTAACATTTTATTCCATTTCAATTTAAAAAGGAATTGAGTTAAGTCCACTTCCAGAACTCTTCTTTATGATATTAACACAATAGTCATTGATTGTACCAGGACAAGGGACAATTTTAGACACATTATTATTTTCCCAAATTGTTTTATTAATAGAGCCATCTGAAAAATCATCTTAAAAAATAATATGTTGAGCATATGATAATTAGGTTAGGAATAGTAGGAGCATTATATATGATAAGAATTAATGAAACCTAATACTTTTTATTGGTACAATTTAAACCGCAAGTTTAAAATTATATTTATTCTATTTGAAGTATTTATTTAATCTTTTAATTCAGTATCGATAAACTTTTTAATTAGAAAATGTCCCTATTAAATTTAATTCATACTTAAAACAAAAATCCCTAATAAAATTAGATATTCAATTATAATATAGAAATTATCTGTTTTAATCAATTACTCTTAATATTTGATTTCTCATTTGAAACTTTAATATATTTCACATATTCAAATCATTAAAATTTCTTTTCTTTTTATGTTTTATAAACTGTAATTATCCAAAAATATATCATCAGAAAACATAATTTAATATATCTCTGAGTTTGATTTATCAGTTAATCAAAATCCAATTTTTATTTTTTTCTCTTTGGTATATTAATACTTGTATATACTAGCCTAAAATAAACTAAGTTAAGCTATAATTAAAAATCAAAGAGGAACTAATAAATTAGGAATTCCATTCAATCCATTTTATCTTATAAATTATAAATATTTATTAATAAAGTAAAATTTTAATTAAAAGAGTCTCTTATGTTATTGAATATATATTACTAAAGAACCACAATATTATTAAATATATAGAGGGGACACAATATTATTCAATAATCAAAATATTCTTAAAGCAGCTGAATATTCAATATCAATTAAATGCTGATTAAAATTTCTAGATCAGATCTTAATTTAAAGATTTAGGATAGATTTTTGAAATATAAAGATAATAATAGTATTAAAACTAAACTAAAATCTTAAATTAATAATAATAAATTACTTCATATATCTAGATACTCAAAATTATTGAGAAGTGTCTTTGCGTTTAGACAATATATGAACAAATATTTTTTAAATATAATAATTACTTCTTAGAATAGATATAAAACAAGATTATTGAATTTTTCTTTTTAAATTTAATAGAATACATAAAGATTTAAAATATTAAATTGAGTAACATTGTAATTCAATAGAAATTATCATCTATGCAATTCCAATATTCATAAAATGATTATAATATTGTTGTCAAATCATATATGATGTATTTTACGATTAATTCCATCTTCTTTGAATCTTACTTATTTTTTCAAAGGAGAATTACTTTCTATATCTGAATCTTTTCTTTTTAAAATTGAAGTAGGAGTGTAAGTTCTCAATTTAGTTGGACTATAACACTCAATTCCTATGATAAAATTATGATCATCTCTTATATCACTAATTTTTCTTCTAATTAATTTCTGCTTTTCTTTTTATACAGGTGCATCTGAATATTTTCTCTTTGGTTTCAATTCTTACTATTTATATACTTATTTAGAATGGTTCTTGCTTTTTTTTGTTTTGATTTCAACCTTTGCAGAACTATAAATAGGTGAATGAGAATGACACTTTATTTATTGTTTTGCATAAGGACTTTGGCTTTAGATTTTAGAATTCTAAGCATGATTCTATTTCTTTTTACATTTAAGGGAAGATTTCAATTCGATAAGAGGTTATTGTTTATTCTTCTGTTAGCAGATTGATTTACTTTCTATTTCACTGTCCTTTAGCATATTAAATTGAGACAAAAATAGACTATCTTCAGAAGGCACTCTTACTAATGATTTAATTTCGTTATGGTTTGGAATAAAGGGTTTAGTAGGAGACTAAAGCATTGCATTAGGTATTTCCATTTAAGTTAATTAACTTGTGTTTATTAAACTATTTAATTTAGGTTTTGGTATCCCTTTCAAATTACTTTTAGAATTTATTTAATCCAATTTAGTTTTATCGTTCATTTATTATTGATCAGAACAATAATTACCCATTTATGATTTTTTAATAATATACTTTATTAAATGTATAAACTTAAGCTTTTTAGTAAATAAACTCATAATCATAATTAGATTAAAAATATGGATTTATAGAGGTTTTAATAAAAATTATAAACATTTATGATGAAACTGATAGAGTATAGTTAAAAATCATTATATTTATTTGATTATTGCAAACAAGAATTTAATATAAAGAAGTTTAAAATATTAGTAAATGATTGTTGTATTTTCTTTTTTATTTACAACTTTCTTTAAACACTAAATAAATTTTGATAATTTGAATGCTCTCTATATATTTAGAATATATATCTGAGAAGCATCATAATTTAGAAATAGCAAAAATTACCAAAAATAAAAAATTTATTATTTTTTTAACATTGTAAATATTATTTGTTTAAATTCTTCAGATAAAAATAATAATTTAATTTAAGTATTTCTTTCAAAATTGCATATCTTATATAATTATATATAAGCTTTAATAAACTAAAACATAATTTAACATTCTACAAAACAATATTAAAAATAAATTTTGTACAAGAAATAAATATAATTCTTAATAATGCCAAAAATTGAAAATACTACAGGAATGCCAATTAATTTGATTATAGATGAATTAAAAAGTGATGATATTAGAAAAAGAATTCATTCAGTCAAACACTTAGATTTGATTGCTAGTACTATAGGTCCAGAGAGAACTAAAAATGAATTAATCCCTTTCATTTAAGGTATGCAAAAATATCATGTAGAATTGCTTGATGATGATGATGAAGTCTTAATTGAATTAGTTGAATCTCTATCTAAGAATTTTATTGAGCTTGTTGGTGGATAAGTATAAGTTTTGCTACCTACTTTTGAAGCATTATGTAGAGTGGAAGATGCTTAAGTAAGAGAAAAAGTAATACATTTCATAATATCGAGGCTGCTAATCAATTAAAGAAATGTTTTACAATGTTGCCTGATTAAAAGAAGGTTGAAGAATTATCAATGGGGATTATTAAAAGATTAAATGATAGTGATTATTATTTAGCTAAAAATGCTGTTGTAATATTGGTGCCGTCAATTATTAATTAAGTATCATAGAACAATTAGAATGAATTGATTAACATCATACTAAAAATTTCTTAAGATCAAATTCCTTAAGTTAGAAAATTTTCATCTATGTATTTTTAAGTATTTTGTTACGTAATTGCAGGATTTTGTAAAGCATTTTCCAATTGTAAATGAAGCCTTCATTTAAAATACATTAAATTCATTCATAAAAGATGAATAAGATTTTATCAGAATGTATATAGTTGATGCATTAATTGCCTCAAGTAAAACTGCATTTTTTTAAAAACAGTAAACCTTTGTTCTTAATATGTTTAAATAATTGGCAGAAGATCAATCATGGAGAGTAAGATTTTATTTTTGTGATAAATTAGCTGATGTATTCAAAAATATTAATTTAATTAGATTGGAGATTCAGTGGGTAAAGAAAGTTATCGAAAAAATTTTTAAAATTACCATCTGAAGTTTTTATAAGATAATGAACCAGAAATGAAATCTATAGCAGCATTAAAAATAGAAAAATTATGTTCTTTTATGGATGCAGAAGAAATTATGAATAAATTAATTCCACTTTTGAAATCAATTCAATCAGATTAAAACTCATTTGTTAGAAGTATATTTTGATTTATAAAATACCTTTAGATTCCTTAGCTTCTTCAGTATTATCATTATCACCAATTATTGGTAAGAAAAATTCAAGTGAATAAATTTTACCCATTTTCTTAACTTTATTAAAAGATTAAGATTCTGAAGTTAGAATTACATTATTCAAAAAATTAAGTTTGATCACAAGTGTATTAGGAGTTGATTCTTTATCTTAAAGTGTTATACCAGCCTTGACAGAATTAGCTTAAGATAAAAATTGGAGAATTCGAGCATCTACAATAGAAGTACTAAGCTTCTTTGCCAGAGCAATAGGTCCAGAATTTTTATCAGATAAAGTTTTGAAATTACTTTTAGATTGGCTTGGTGATAAAGTCTATGCTGTTAGATAAACAGCAATTTAATAAACTGCTTTATTGATATAAATTCTTGGTATTTAATGGGCTGATAAAAATTTGTTAACTAAAATTTGGGGTTTTTAATCTATTCAAAATTATCTTCAAAGACTAACAGTATTATTTACAATAACAGTATACTTAATTTTATATTATAATTTAGCAAATAGCATCTTCATTAAATAATGATTACATATTAAAAACAATTCTTCCTCTTTTATAATAAATGTCAAAGGACTCAGTTGCTAATATCAGAAGCAATGTTTGCAAGACATCTATTTTATTAGCAAAAGAGAAAGGGGGAAATGTAGTTGAGCCATTGAAAAAAGTTTTATAATCTCTTTGTGATGATTAAGATGCAGAGGTTAAATATTAGGCAAAAAGTGCTTTAGAATCATTATGAATTCAATAATAATGATTAATATATTAAATAAATAATTTCATCTTTTGCAGATTTAAATATTTAGATAGAATGACAAAATATTGTTATTTTTATGTATTTAATATTGTATGATTCATTATCAATATTATTTTTGAATACTACTGCTTCCAACAGTTGATCTTGTTACAGTTCTCTTTTCAACAACTACTTCCTAATTATAATTAATATTATAAATATACTTTCTTTGATTATTTCTAAAGAGCTTCTAATTCTGCTTATGCCATCATCAATTATTCTTAACATTCATTATAATCATGATTAATCTTAATGAATTTCTATTTCCAAACTTCAATTTCAGAACTTAAGAAAGTAACCTTTTCTTAGACAACAGTAGTTCCTTATTCTTCCAAATATTAAATTCTTAAATGTAAATCATCAATTTCATGATCTTTATTAGCTAACATTTATCTTAATTTTTCAATTTCAGTTTTCAATCTTAAAATTTCTTACTCTAAATCACTTATTTAAAATCTATATTAATTAAGTTTTGAACTATATTCTTTATCATTAAGAGCTAATTAATTTCTTAGATCTTCACATTCAGTAGTTCTTTAATATAATAAACTCTTCAAATTATTTACTTCCATTTCTAATTCTCTAATTCTTGATTAAGCATCTCTACTTTCACTAGCTGCTGATCTTAATTCTAGTGAAGTAATTCTATATTTTTCTAATTCATTATCCTTTTATTATATAATTAATTTAAGAGAACTTAATTCCATTGATAATTTACTATTTGCATCTTATAAATCCTAAATTTAATCTCTTAACATAGCTAATTCTTAATCTTTACTTCTGCATTGATTCTTCCAATTTTAAAGTTCTGTTTCTAATTATTTATATCTTGATTCACTAGAACTTGAACTAGTTTTTATGAGTAATAGTTCTTAATCTTTTTGTTTTAATTAAGAATTCAAATTTGCATTTTACATCTACAATTCAGAAATTTATCTTCTCAAATCACNTTGTGATGATTAAGATGCAGAGGTTAAATATTAGGCAAAAAGTGCTTTAGAATCATTATGAATTCAATAATAATGATTAATATATTAAATAAATAATTTCATCTTTTGCAGATTTAAATATTTAGATAGAATGACAAAATATTGTTATTTTTATGTATTTAATATTGTATGATTCATTATCAATATTATTTTTGAATACTACTGCTTCCAACAGTTGATCTTGTTACAGTTCTCTTTTCAACAACTACTTCCTAATTATAATTAATATTATAAATATACTTTCTTTGATTATTTCTAAAGAGCTTCTAATTCTGCTTATGCCATCATCAATTATTCTTAACATTCATTATAATCATGATTAATCTTAATGAATTTCTATTTCCAAACTTCAATTTCAGAACTTAAGAAAGTAACCTTTTCTTAGACAACAGTAGTTCCTTATTCTTCCAAATATTAAATTCTTAAATGTAAATCATCAATTTCATGATCTTTATTAGCTAACATTTATCTTAATTTTTCAATTTCAGTTTTCAATCTTAAAATTTCTTACTCTAAATCACTTATTTAAAATCTATATTAATTAAGTTTTGAACTATATTCTTTATCATTAAGAGCTAATTAATTTCTTAGATCTTCACATTCAGTAGTTCTTTAATATAATAAACTCTTCAAATTATTTACTTCCATTTCTAATTCTCTAATTCTTGATTAAGCATCTCTACTTTCACTAGCTGCTGATCTTAATTCTAGTGAAGTAATTCTATATTTTTCTAATTCATTATCCTTTTATTATATAATTAATTTAAGAGAATTTAATTCCATTGATAATTTACTATTTGCATCTTATAAATCCTAAATTTAATCTCTTAACATAGCTAATTCTTAATCTTTACTTCTGCATTGATTCTTCCAATTTTAAAGTTCTGATTCTAATTATCTATATCTTGATTCACTAGAACTTGAACTAGTTTTTATGAGTAATAGTTCTTAATCTTTTTGTTTTAATTAAGAATTCAAATTTGCATTTTACATCTATAATTCAGAAATTTATCTTCTCAAATCACTTACATCTTATTAATTACTTAATCTTAATCTATTCAATTCATTTTCTAATTAAGTAATAGATTCAGTATCTTTAACAATCTTTTCTTTTTCAATTACTTTCTCAACAATCTTTGTTTCTAATTATCTAGATTCAAGTTCAGTAATAACTGATTAAAGATACTCACATTCCAATCTCCAGGGAGCTTCTATTTCTTCTCTATTTACTACTACAATTTGCATATGTAATGGTGATGCCTAACAAGGATTGCATGGCTAATAATTTAATAGATAAACTTTACATTTATAGTGGGATAGTTTGTAACTTATGCTGTCACAAAATTATTAGGAAATTGGACTCCTTATTGATTAAATGCTTAATTTCTTCCATCAAATACAAATTCTTCTTGTTAAACTTATTGATTCACATAAGGAACCTATAATAATAAATTCATCCATATTTTACTTGTTACACTCCACTTGTGTATGCAAATTACTAAGAAATAGGTCTTGTTTATTAATATTCATTTCTTAATGTCTCTTATTGATCAAGTCTTTATTAAGTAAACATTAGATATTAAATTATTAATTTTTATTTACCTTAATTTTATTTTATATTATATTATCAATGGTATAAATCAGTGTAATTTAAGATTCATTTTTACTTCCTAAGACTAAATTCAATTATCTAAATTCAAAATATAATAATTATTACATAAATAGATTAACAAAACAGATTAATCAAATGAATAATTTTATTTAAATATCATAAAACTATACTCAATTATTAGTAGAATCAAAAAACATTTATTTAGGTTTTCTTAAACTATGTTAGTTCTAATTATTTAGATATAAAAGTATTAAATATTATTTAATCATTGCATAATTCTAGTGTCTTCTAATAACTGAATTTATTTGATTAAGTCCTGCTTTTCATTTATATGCCTTTGCAACTCTTCTCGATAAGATTTTAATAAAATTGATGATCTTTAAATTATATTTTATAATTGAGAAATCGTTTATCTTTCTTTTTCTCTATTCGAAGTCATATTTAAAGAGTCAAAAGATTTTTTTTGCATTTGATCTTTAGTAGTATTTCTCATTCTGGGTTTAATACTACTTGATGTAGTTGAATTTAAGGAAGGAGTATGATTATCTAACTTATAAATTAATTAAGTGGATAATTAGTTAGGAGTAGGAATATAGCCTTTCAAATATTGTTATGAAAAACTATCTTAGATTTGGAGTTATTATTATTAAGATTTTTATTGAACTAATTTTGAATATGGACTTGATTTTAATAATTATTGTAAACCTTTCTTTATAGACTTCTTTTTTTTGTGATTTTAATTAACTGTTATAGGAGTTATTAAATCTGCTTATGAATGATTTATCCTTCTGTTGAGAGTACTTTATATATTATTTCGTATCTCTGGACTGATTGTAAATTTACGTTGCTGATCTAAATATGGTTAATCTGCTATTAGTAAAGAGTTCATTGTAATTTATATATATTTTAACTTTTATTAATCCAATCAATATAATAATGATTAGATTTATAGAACTATTATATCATAAGAGTTATTTATATTAATATATAATTAGATAGAACATATAAGATATATATATCTCTTATATGTTTTTGTAGATAAATGAAATGCTTTAAGGAATCATCATCAAATGTTTATATCTTAACTATCAAAAGTTCAAATATTATAATATATTTTTTTAATAAAACATAATGCCTCGCTCAAGCAAAGTTTCTAACAGATCATTTTCTCATGGAAAACAAGGTTAGTTAAATGAACCAATCATTATTACATTATAAAGAGAGATTGATAATTACACTAGAAAAGTAGAAATTGAAAGAAGGTTTCATTTAATAGATGCATTATTTTAGAAAGCTTTTTAATTTAGAATAATAGCACAGATAATTATAAGAAGAAGTAAAAAATAAAGTATAATCTGTGAAAAAATTGAAAATGGATTCAATAAAAAAGGTTTTGAATAAAGATTAGGCAGAATCAAAAAGTCTATAATTTTAAATTGATTAAGTAATTCATAATAAAAAATTTAGTTTGATAAAAAATTATGTAAGTCTGTAGCAAATATTGACATTATGAAATCAAATATTGATATAATAAGAAAAGAACGAAATTAACTGTTATAAGCAATGAAAGAAATTCAATAGTCTCATGAGTAAATTCATAGTAGATTAATCTCAACATAATCATAGGCTTAAAGAAAGGTTCATGATGCTTGTAATAATAATTAGAAATATTGTTAGAAATTACTTAATAATAAATGTTTGATTTGAAAACAAAAAATGAAATTGATAAAAGTGAATTTTAAGAAAAATTTGATAGACTAAAAGCTGAATTAAAAGAAAAATAAGAAAAATAAAATGAAAAAGATAAAATATCTAAAACTAATAGACTCAAAGCTACAAATTATTCTACTTTTGATACTGGAACTTTATTAAAAAGAAGATTATAAAGAATTATTGCTAATAATAAAGAAAAAGTTAAAATGATTGATACATATTAAAGAAATATGAGAATTGTAGATGAAGCATTTAATTAAATAAAAGAAGCAACTGGATTAACTGATATAGAAGAAATTAAAAATAATTTTATTAAAAGTGAAGAATAGAACTATTCATTATGGACATATGTAGATGTACTAAACTAAGAAATAGATGCTTTAGAAGATGCTAATGAAGAATTAAAAGAAAAGTGTGAAATATAAGAAAAAGAAAATGCTGAAAGATAGAGAATTTTATAAGCAACCCCAGATGGTGAAAGAAAAAGAAAATAAATTTAAAGGATTATTGATTAAAAGTAAATATATATTAAATATTAAAGATAAAATGAGATTGATCAATTTGGTAATAAATTATCTTAAATCTAACCAATTATAGAGAATATATTATAAAAAATGATTAAGACTAAATTTAATCTTGATCCAACTAGAGTTTATACATTTTAAGGTGGATTTTAATTAAATGAATCTAATATTGATTAATATTTAGGTGAAATATTTTAATTTTATTATTAGCTGAATTGGAAGGTTATATAAATATGTTAGTATTATATAAATCAAATAAAAATAAAAGAGATGGATTAAATTAAAATAAATTTATAACTGGATTATTATTAGAAGAAATACCAACAAAAGAATTTAAATCAAAATAATAATTAAATTAAACATCAGTATTACCATCTTAGGGAAATGAAGAAGGTTCAGACTTTTAAAAGTTTTTAAATTATAATGAATTTCATGAAATGGCTTAATTAGCCCTAAAAGAGGCTGAAGGATAAAGTATTAAATTACATTATTTAATGTAGATTTTGCATCAACAAAGAAGAATAAAAAATGAATTTTTTTCTATACAATTTATAAATATAACATATATATGTTAACACTATTAAATATCACATCATAAGTGGTTTTTGACTATTTTACATTTTATCGAAATCATTTTATGTCATACTATTTGATGTATATTCAGAATTCTTTGATATAAGAAAATAATTACATTTAAGACAGATCGTGAACTATTCTATTTAATAACTGTAGTTTAAGTTACTATTTTCTATTGACTATATTATTTCTATAATGATTCATATTCTGCTTCTTTAACCATTAATTTTTCTTAACATGCATGATATGTATCATTTAATTCCTTAAACTTTTATTTCCATATTTTAGCTTCTTCCTCAAATGTTTTAACTGATTAAGTTGTTGTGATCTCTTCACTCAATTAATCTACTTGTTAATAGAGTTCATTTAATTCCATTTATAATTTTGATATTGTGTCATCTTTATCATTACATAAATCTTAGATATGCTATTTCTCAATTTTAAGTTAATTTATTTCCATTCTTAACTTTTCAATTAAATCATCCTTTGAATTCATATTTAATTATTAGCTATTTATTGTTTACTAAAGAGAATTCAATTTAAATTATAACTCAGATATTATCTATTAAGAAGCATTCTTTCCAGATTCTTATTTTATAATAAATAGTTACATGCATCTAAATTATATTATTCAGAACTTGATTTTAATTATTATTTTAATTTCATTATGATTTCATCCTTTCCATTTAAAATAGTCATATTCTATTGAAGTTCAGATTTTAATTAAAAATTTTCCAATTTATATTTCTCTACCATTTCTTAAACTGATTTCAAATCAAATTATAAATTAACAATTGTTTATTGTAAAGTTGTAATTTTTATGTTTAATTCTGATGTCACCATATTAGATGCACTTCTACTTTGTTCTAAAATATATTGAAATTTTATACTGCTTTCAAATTCAATTTATTCCCTAGCATTTTATAATTGTTGCTTCAATAAAGTTATTTATGTATCTCTATCTTCCAATTGAGTTTTCACTCTAAAAAGTTCAGTTTATAAATCAATAATTGTCTAACTATCATTATTGTTTGATGCTCTTAATTCATAGTTTTCTGATTAAATAATTGCTTAATTTTTTGTTTCAAGCATTTACTCTATTCCTCTCATTCTTTTACTCCACATTTCTTCAAACTTTATTAAGTCAACCACTTTAATTGGATTATCGATTATTGTTTATTAATAAATTGGTTCAACATGAGGCATATACACTGGAGGATAGTACTCAACAAATGCAGGTCTTGAAAGTGAAAAGCTCTTATTAGATTTGTGAGATAAGGGACCTTGGGGAGATGAAGTGATATAATTTCTTAATGATCTTGGTCCCTCTACTCTAATTTATTATGATTATTGTAGTGTCTATTATTAAGGAGGCACAATTATATTACTTACAGATATTTGTGCTTCAGCCTAAAATATAATATTTTAAGTACTTATTAATGTATTGATCTTGTCGATACTTAATTGACTCTCACTGATCTTATCGATTAGAAAGACTACTATTAAGTAACCATATTTTGTTATTTAGTTGTGGTTTGTACTTTTAAGTTTTAGGACTAATTTTGCTAGTATTTAAGACTACTGTACTTAATGTTAAGAAGAGTTTAATTGCTAGTAATTGTGGAACGCATTAGCTTGTTTTGGGTTAGACTTCACATCTTAGGACATCCTAGATTATCCAACATTGTATGATCCCTTTTATCTTAATGGTGAGTAATTCATCATTTATAAGGTTAAATAAATTTATTTATAAAATAAATTTCATCTCCTACCAGATTTATATTAAAACATTCAGTTTTTTCAAGGGAACTTATTAACTATCATAAAAATTAAATCACATTTAAAATGGTAAAATATGCTAAAAAATTTATACTAAATATATACATAATGCAATAAAATTTTAATTATTCATAAAATTTCAGACTATTGTTAGATAAGGAGTAATGATATTTGACAACTTAATGATTTCTACTTCTCATAATAAACTTAACATTTAAATAATAAGAAAAATTTAGAACTATTAACTTAAATTAAATTCATATATTTGAATATAATTATTTGTTATCTCCTATAGAATATTAAAGACCTCCTCCTTATAAAATTATATGATCAGATTCAAATTGTTAATCTTTTTAGAAGTTTAAGATTAATTTTTAATACAAAATATTCTGGTATTCTAGAAATTACTATTTATTTCAAAATCTATATAATTTATACATGGATGTTAAAAAAAGAACAAATATTAGGTAATATACTCTATAATGAAAGAATGTTAGTTATAGAAGTGTGAGAATCATATTAATAATCATTAAAATTAAAATTTTATATCTAATTTCTAAAATAAATGGCATAGCCAACTCCAAGAATCATAAAAGAGACTCAAAATTTAGCAAAAGATAAGGTTCAAGGTATTGAAGTAACTCCTGATCCTGGAAATTTCAAACATTTTTATGTAATAATTACTGGACCTCCCAATACTCCTTATGAAGGAGGGGTTTTTGATGTTGAATTATTATTACCAGATGATTACCCTATGGTATACTAATTGAATGTATTTTAGTCACCACCAAAATGTGTATTCAATACAAAGATCTATCATCCAAATATTGACAATTTAGGTAGAATTTGTTTGGATGTGTTAAAAGATAAATGGTCTCCTGCATTATAAATAAGATCAATTTTACTCTCAATATAGGTGTTACTAAGCTCACCTAATCCTGTACTATAATTTTCTATATCTTAAGGATGATCCCTTAAATAATGAAGCAGCCAATTTATGGAAAGCAAATGAAGCCTAAGCATTAATGAAAGCTAAAGAATACACATTGAAATATGCAAAAAAACATTGATATGTTTGATTTATTGGAATATAAATATATATTTGATATTCTTTAATTAATTGATATCAATTTAGATATAAATATAGTTTGTAATATAAAATTATATATGAATTCAATAATATAAGTTAATTATTGGAGGAATTTCATTCATTATTAAATTTATTGAATATGAATCATTAAAATTTCCTTCAAACAGCCCTCACTAGATTTAGAATGGCTGCTATAAATGAGAAGGTAAATTCAGATCAAGTAGTTACTATTTTACAAAGTTTAAATTATAATCAGTCATAGATTAATTCTATTGTTTCATAGATCACATCTGAAATAGGTATTAGCATCATCTAAATAGACATTAATTAGTTTCAATAATTGCTCTAACCCATAGAATAAGAAATCCCAATGTAAAAACTCACATCCGAATAAATTTATGCAATATATGCAGAATTTCGATAAGCCTTGCATTTTTAGAACATAGAAAAGGTTAAGCAAATATTAAGTATTCCAATTGATTTGATTTAACTTAGCTACTTATCAAAAGGATATTGATCTAGTGAATCGAATTGATCCATAGACTCGATAAATTTCAACATTTATAGCAATACAAGGTTCAGATGAAGATGTTTCATTGCAATTATTAAAGTACTTGTGTGAATTAGGAGCAAATATAAATTATAAAGATAACCTAAAATAATCCATCCTTTTTTATGTTTGTAGAGATGGAAGGACAAAATTATTTGATTTTTTGATATCATAAGGAATCAATATTTCTGATACTGATTCTTATGGATAAACTCCTTTATTTTATGCTTCTAGAGAAAATAGAATTGACATTATTTCAAAGTGATCTTTATATTCAAATATTTAGATTTATTAAATTAGGCATTGATGTAGCACATTTGGATACATTATCATGTTAGACAGCCTTATTTTATGCAGCAAGTAAAGGACATTATGAGGCTTGTAGATTATTGATAGATGTAAAAAAATTGTCAATAATTTTAGGCTGGATGTCCAATTAACCATCAAGATAATAAAAAGAAAACAGCCCTATACTTTGCTAAACAATCCTAGAAAAAAGAAGTTATTGATTTGATTACTGCTAGTATGCAAAAATAAAAGGAAGATGTTCATGTAAAAAAGGAAGAGAGTGTTAAAGGAGGGGAATAGAAATAGAATAAGAAAAAGTAAAAAGAAGTTCCAAAATAGTAATATAAAATTTTACATACTGATGACAAAGGATAACAAAGAGAATTAACAAATGAAGATTTTCAACAATTTTAAATTTAATATCCTGAAATAGCATCTCTTATATTAAATGCAGATGATTTTATTGATGAAAATATGATAAATTAATGCAAAGAAGATGAAACTTGGGAAAAATAGGCCAAAAAAATAATAGGTATATTTTGTTAATTATGAATTAAAAGCATAAATTTGGAAGGCAAAAGGAGCGTACTTTTTCCATAAACCAGTTGATTAAAAAGAATTTCATATTACTGATTACTTTGATATTGTTAAAAAACCAATGGATTTTGGGACAATTAAAGTAAATATATATTACAAATAAATAGAATAAATTAAATGTTAATGCATATAAAAATTTTAGAGAATTTCACTCAGATATGATATTAGTCTTTGATAATTGTGGACTTTATAATGGAACTTAAAGTGCTATTGGTTAAATTGGAGTTAATATAAGAAATGAGTATTTGAGTTTAATTGAATAGAATGGGTTAAATAAATATTTGTGAATTATTTTTACATGTTTGGGTATGAAAATTAAAAAAAAAAATTATAAAAAATCAAAGATTGCTAAAGTACTCAATTAGAGGCTTTTTATTTTCTTCTTTCACATATCAAATCAAATAAGGACTTTTATTGATAAGATCCGGGACCAGGTATTTATTCATTAAATGTTTGTTTTGGTCTTTCTCCTATACCAAAGGATATATGATTAAATCGTTAATTCAATATTAAAGCTTCTTTTGGATTGTATGTAACAAAGATGCTTATTATTTGGGTAATATTTATTTATCACTAAACATTTTTTATATAAAGATACATTATTTTTCCATATATACTAAATTATGGAGTTTTTGATTGTAGTTTGTATTAATATTATCCAGGACCTGGGACTTCTTAACGATCATTTTAGACTAACTTATTTCCAAATGAAAATGATTTTGTATTTGGAGAAATCTTTAATGAATAATCCCCAGGAGCTGGATTTAATTTATCTCTTCTTTCCAAGTCCAAAGGTTTAATAAGTTTTGTACCAAATCCAAAAGATGTTGATCTTTTAGTTTTTGTATCACTTAATAAGATCATCTTAGGTGTTGATTCTCTAGAAACTGAAGGAAATCGTTTAGCTTTTGGAAAAGAATGATGTTCATGTGTTTATAACAAAATGCTTGAGCTTAATTAATTTGGTTCACTAAATTATCCATTAATTCGTTTATTGTTACTTTATAATTTCTAGTAGGACAAAATTCGATTACGAAATTTAGCAGTATTCATAAAATGAATAATAATTTATTTTTGTAGAAACTAATAAATTTATTATATAATATAAATTCTTAATTAAGATAAGAAGAATTCACTAAATACAAAATACTTACTTAATATTAAATATAAAACTCAACTAATATATTTATCTGCTTATTATTCTAAGATTTTAGCACTTTATTTTGCATGTAAGAATAATTCATGAACTTCCTATATATCCTATATGGCAATTTCATCTCTACCAGAAGTTTAAGCTAATATATTGGCAGGAGTTAACAATAAGATAGCAAATCTAAATTGATATATTATTATTAAATACCTTAAAGAAGATTGATTACCAATGTTACTCAACTCTTACAGTGCTTCTTCTGTTATCTTAAGTCCTTCAGTTTAGCCTCTAATTGCTAATATTTTAATGATGTCTTCTAAGTTATATGGAGTAGTTCTTATAATCAATAATCTTAATATAATAAATATTTTAATACCTGTCTAAGAGATCTACTGGTAATCCATGAGGACTATTGATATCAGTACCTCTAATTTAAGAATAACCTCTATTAGTAGCTAATACTACAATTGGAGCTAAAGTAGATTCTAAAGCTCTATTTAAAAATGTGAATGCTTCTATATCAAGCATATGACATTCATCAATAAACAAAACTCCAGGTACTAATTCTGCGACTCCTTAGTCTATATATTTGCTGACTACTTTATTAATTTCTCCTCTTAACTTGTCTGTAATATCTGTTTTTTTCTTTTTATTCATTTGATTCATAAGAGATACGAAATCATGGCCTCCTTAAGGTTTTGCATTCGCAACATCTAAATCATGTAAAGTCACATCTTGGACAATCTCTTTCTTTTTATGAACATCTCCTTTAGGTAATGGAACATATTCTTCTGCCTCCAAATCATATTCACTATTATAAACATCACACCTTCCTACTCTTTTGACATTTCCACTATTAGCTTCTATATAAATAACATCTCCAATAGTGACTTTTTCTCTTGTTAAATTTTCATGAATAGATGGATCTAATTTTAATGTTTTAGATCCTTTAGATGTTTTCAAAGTTATTACTACAGCTGATACTACCTTTCCATAACTAATTTATTGATTATATATCTATACCCTGTCTAATCATCTTTTTCTTCTGTTTTTAATTCAATAACTTCTCCTTCCCAAACTTCTTTAGTTTCCTTAATTCTTAAACCAATAGCTCTTCTAAAATTCTCCATAAGTATTTCTGTTTTTTTAACCTCAGCAGAATAAACTTCTGAGCCAACCATTGGGTAAAATGGAACTTTAGATCCTAATTCTTAGGCTATTGCTAATGCTATGGCTGTTTTTCCAGTTCCTGGTGGTCCTGCCATTAATAATGCTCTTCCTGCAAGTTTTTTAGATTTAACCATATCTACAAATATTCCTGCTGCCTTTTCATAAAATCTTTTGCTTTAAATACCTCTCTTGCTATTTATTATCCAACCATACCAGATGCATTTTCTAATGCAGTTCCATCTTCCTACAATCCCAATCCTTTTATATGACTATGGTGTGCAATTCTTTAGGTTTTGGTTGTAGATTTCACTTCTTCTATCTACTATAATACTCATTTTATACTTTCATCATGTTTTTAAAAATTAATTTATTTATTAATTAATCACTCATCACTAATCAATTCTATAATATCCTAGATGTGCATTTAATTTGATATGAAAACATGTTTAAATGCTTATTAATCAAAATAAGTATCATTTTCATCACTAATTACTTTCGAAAGTTTAAAGTTTTATATCAACTCTTGATAGATTGGTTTAATTGTTGGATGTTTCTCTTAGAATTATTCACAAAGTATTCTATTAATATTTATAAACTCTCTATTGGTTACTTTCAATTATTTATCTGGGTCATAAAACTAAATTTATTAATTAATTGACTTACATTCAATACACTATCTATCATTTCTTTTAAATTTGCTTTTTTGTTAATGAAAACTCTTATAAAATGACAAAATTATTTGTATGACACTCTTTCATCATTATTAAAAGGACTTAAATCAAAACTTAATAATAATCTATCACCTATTATTGGTTTCTTTAAACATTTGAAATTATCTTTTAGAGATAGAATTGTCATTCCTTTAGTTTTGTAGAGATGTAAAAAAGAATTAATTTTTGGACTGATCTATAAATAATAATAATTTACTCAAATTTATAAAATTTCATTGGTTATGGTAATTCTGTAATTTATGAAGAATTATCCTATGATTAAAATTATATCATAGATCTCTTTAATGATTCTACACTATTATTAACCTAGTTTTTTTGAAAAGTAAATTTAGGAATCAATTCACATTTTGAGCATTAAGATGGTTCTTAACCAATTGATTGTCTTGTCCATCTATTTAAAATATATTATTATGATGGAAATTTTATTTAAAGTGGATTTGTTGATCCTTCAACAATATATTTTTGTATATCTTATTTAAGAGTATCTTCCATGGACTTCATTTTTATTAATGTTTCTTAAGATTGTTCATTTTCCAATTATAACTTAGCTATATATATTGTTTCTAAACAACTTGATGGTCCTTAAGGCTTTCTTGCCTTTATTAGATGATCTGAAGTATAATTACTCCTCTTGATCTAAAGACTAAAGCTCATAATATCAACAAATACTTATTCACATTTAATTTCTTATGCAATATATTTTTATCCCATATACCAATAATTTTACCTAATTTATATGTTCCTTCTAAATACTCCTCCACATTAATTTATCCAGGAGGTCTTTAATATTTGTAGTTCTTATATGGTAAATTGAATAAGTTATAATATTCAGGAGGTCTTTCAGGTATATCTGCTTATGTTTTAGGTCTATCTTACAAAGTAAGAAGAACTTTTTTTTCTATTGTTTAATTAGCACTTTATTTTTTTATTGGACTGCTTTCAGATTTCCTGAATTTACAATCAGAACTTGATGGGAATCTCTATCTGGTTTTTAATATTCTCCTGAAATGATTATATTCTCCAGGCTAATTAAGGTGAAATCATTATGTTACTGTTTTACTTTATCTATTTGAATGTACTGTACTGGGAGTTTACACAATTGCAATCATTCTTGTTAATAATTATTATTATCTCAACAAATTAAGTTTAACATAATTTGTATAAATTTAATTATGAATATTGTGAAGACAATTAGATAGGCATTCTAATTTTCAAGAGTCAGATACTTTGTCTAATAGAAGGACCCAAGAATTAATGCTGATTATCTTGACTCTAAAGAAACTAAAATACCTAATATTTGTTCAAACCCAGAAAAAATTAATGAAGAAGGTGAATATTGCAAAGTTACAGTATAAGGAAAAGAAGTCAAATCATAAGAAAAGTAAATTTGATTTAATAATCACATAGATTAAGAATTAAAGCAAAACTTAAAAACTGTAAAGAAATTAATGGAGTCATTGCATATATTTGATGCTGATTATATAAAAAGTCATTAAACATACCCTTTATATAAATAGTTTAATGTTAATAACAAAATAATTAAGAATATCTATCTTTCATTTAAAAGATTATAAGAATAATAATATAAAATTGCAATATATTTGTTTTGAATGATTTTATGAGAATTATTTTATATTCTGTGTCTTTCCTTTTATGCTTCTTAAGTCTTTTATTATCAAAATCTTAATTAACATATGACCATAACAAACTTAATTTTCTTAGATTATAAGTCTTCTTCTTCTATTAATTAAAATAACATCTAATACAATAGTCAAAATGAATAAAGATAAAATCTTCATTTATATAATTAGACATGTTTCTTTGAGCTTTATTATAAAGTATATTTATTGAGATAATTTTTTATTTAATAACCTAATAATCCCTTGATAATTAGGGTATTTAGAATTAGATAATAAACTTATAAACAAATTATTTGATTAATTTAAAATAAAAAAATGCAATAAAATAGTTATAGGGTGAATGCAGGAATTGGTGCCACTTACAATACTAATGTGGCGACTTCTTAAGTTTTGAAATAGATTGCACAAAATAAAGAATAGACATAGTAAAATAAATAAGCGTAGGATTAAGAATTAACAATGATAGCATAATAGACAGATCATCTAAGAAAAAGAATCTCAAATATTTTCAATTTACCAATTAAACTTAAAAAAACATAAAGTAATTAGCAATACTTAAAATAGACTTTATGATTGAAGATATTGGATTAAAGGTGGATTACCTCTTCAAAAAATCTCATCTAAATTAAAGTAATGTTGATTATATGAGTGATCATATCAAAAGGTTAGGAGATAGGATTAATTAGGAAATGAAAAAAAAATAAGAGCAATATCATTCTAGCATTAAAATTGATAATTTTAAAAATTTTTCATAAATTTAACAAGAGTTCTAAAAAAATAAATAAGTAAAATACTTCAAATAAATAAATTAGTTATATAGTTCATTTTATAAATCAGAATTAAAGACAGTCATAAGATAGAAGGAAAGATTAATAGATATCCTAACATCTTCAAATAGAACTGAAAAATTAGTATCACATGAAATTTAACTAAATTAATATAATGAAGCAATTCTAGAGAAATTATTTGTCGATAATCATTTATATTAAGTGCTGTTAAATTTTATCAAAAATAAGAATGATTTATCAATATTTGAAAAACTATTTAGAACTTTGGAGGTTTTTGAAACAACCCATAATGTGGAGATGAGATTATTAGCAGATTAGTTTTAGAATATATCTAATACATTAAATTAATAATAAAAATGGTATATAAATTCAATTAAAAATATAGTGAGAAGATTATTCGCAATACAGTATCCCATTTAGAAAATGATATGCTCAAATAAGTTGGTCATTTAGATTTATAGAATTTAAATAGAAAATTTAAAGAATTTTATCTTCCTTATTTATAAACTACTGAATTATATTAAATAGGATAGTTTTTTCCTAGTGGAATCCTCTTTTTATTAATGAGATGTGGAAAAATTAATGAAGCATAAAAGATTCTTTCTGGATTGATATCAAGTGATTAAAGAATAGCTTAGTAATTTATAAGTTTTTTTGATTTATAAAAATAAGAAATTTTGAATCAAAATGATGTTGAAGAGAAATCAAGACAATAATGTTGTGATATATTATTACAATAATGTTATTGGTTATTATTAGATGTTAGTGATGCTTATGATGTATTTGAATAAACATAATTTCAAAAAGATAGAGACTTTTATATATGGTTAACATTAAAAACTACTCATTGTTCTGATGAATTTGTAGTATATGAAAGATCTGATCAAGAATCAAAAAAAGCTTTCTTTCATTGGAAACTTATAGATCTTCATGAAACTATACCATAATCATCAGTAAGTTTAAGAATCAATTTAATTTTATAAAGATATGATTACATTTTAAGTGAATTATATAAATACTAAAATCAATGTCTTTCATAAGTAGAATATTTTATATTAGATACAGTACTTACAGAATTGAATATGAAAACATAAAAAAATAGTTTTGCTGAAAAATAAAAAAAATCTGTTATAGATAACCTTGTTAATTACACATAAAATAAGCATCCTCTTATATCTTGTTTAATAATGAGTGTTTGTTCCTATAATATTGAAGCTATTGCTAATTTATTATAAAAGTCTAATCATGTTACATAGGTTTTAAATGATAAAAATGTTAGAGAGAATTTAGAAATTATTTTTGGAAAAGAAGAATTACTTAATATTACAAATGAAATGATTAATTTATTTTTTGAAAAGAATTTACATAATTCATTAAAAGAATTATAATAACAATTAGAAAAATCATTTACAATGAATTAAATTAATGATTGTCATACAATTTTAATATTGAAATTAGATGAAATGAGTGTCTATATGAAGTAATTATTAAATTCAAATTCTGAAATACTTTTAGAAACAGCAATTTATTTATATCATGAAACATAATTAGTATTTATACTAAGTTGTTTAATTGTCAATTAATACTGTATTATGAAATTAGGATCTTAAATTGAAAAAAGACAATTATAAGCTAAAAATCTAGAAAACTTACATTCTAAAATAAAGAGTTGTGCAAAAGAATCTAAATTATTTAAATATTTTTATAGATTCTAATTGATTGAAATATTTTAATAAGCCTATTTGTCTATGAGATAAGAATCAGTTAATCTTAATGAAATAAATCAAATTCTATATAATATGAATATCAAAGAATTAACAAAAAGTTTAATTGAGAATAAATAGGTTCATTTTATTAAGATAGTATTTTGGTAGATATTATTATTGATTGAATAAAAAAAATGTCATGATAAATCTCATTTAATGTAAAAATTAATATTTATCTATAGTGAAAAAATAAAAGAATTGAATGAAACATTGCTAAAATTCCCAGAAAGTCAGGGAATTAAGATTTGCAGAGAAGATGTTCAATTTTCATAAATTATTGTTGATATTTTGAATTCTTATTCAAAAGTGTTAAAGATGTATTGAGCTCTGTTCTTAATTTATTATAAATTAATTTTTTTTTGATTTTAATTATGTTAGATTAAGTTAGCAATCTATTGTAATTTATTAAATTTATAATTATTATAAGAGAGTATGCTATCAAAAAGGAAGGTTTCATCATAAAATCAAGAAGAATCATCTAACTCTATAGAATAATTATGCAATAAAATTCGAAAGGTCATAGTGAGTGAAGTTGGTGAAAAATATATCTAAAATCATTCTGAGAAAGGAGTAAAGAAAAAAAGAACTAAGCACAAATGTAAACGTTAAGATGAATAATAACTGATTGAATTAATCCAGAATGATCCTGTAGAAGTAGAAGAATAGCTTTCTTCAATTAAAGCGATATCTGAATCCTAATCATGGGTATTTGAAGAACTATTTGAGGAAATAAATAAGCTCAATACCCATTAAGAGATTGAATGAAGTTCTTTAATTAATTATGATTAAATATTTATTCTAATATATGGTGTTGTACATAGATATACGCTATACAAAAATTAAATTCATTTACCTTCTAAGAGAATTCAACTATTAATGATTGAAAAACTTAATAGGATTCTTAGTATTATAAAATAAAGGATTAATTTGAACATGAGATAACATCCCAATTTGAATTAAATTTAATCAGATAATTCATAAATCATCTTAAAATTTAAATAATACAGTGAATTACAAATTTTGCTAATTTTTATTGTTTTAGATTGAATTTTAGAATAAGTTAATTGGTTTTAATAATATTTACAATTAGATTTCAAAATTATTATGATCCTTTTGATAAATTATTTATGTAATACAATTTGAATCAAATTAAAAGTGATTTTAATTTAGTATAGGTTCTTAATTATAAAAATAAAATTTGACTTAAATGAGGTTATTTTATTTGAATAGTTTTGAATAATTAAAATTAATTGAGGTTTTAATTACTTTTTATTTTCTCTGATTTTATTTTATGAGAAATTAAGAAACATTTGATGTTTAAATATATTATGCAGAATTGAACATTTTTCATTATATTTAAAATTCAAATATATTGTAAGTTTTCAATATATACTATTATTATCTTTTATTAATTAAATGATATTAATTAAATTTCAAATAAAAATATATGTCAAGTGAAGAAGAAGTACTATTATCTAGTTTATTCTTTTAGAAAATGAAATAATTGTAAGCACTTCCAATTAGAAATTACTTGGATTAAACTGTAGTACCACTTCTATTACAGGCCATGACTGAAGTAGCTAAAGTGAGGTGAGTTTTTCTTAAATATTAAGACCACCTAATCCAATTGAATTTATAGCTAACTATTTGCTCTAGAATAACCCAGAAAAAGCACAAGCAAGATAATAATGAGTGCTATTGAACTGAAACTGATTTTATATAAACAAAATAAATAAATACTATGATTTTAATTATAAAGAATATTTCTTAATCCCTTAGTTTAAATACAGTAAATCATATAAACAAATCATAAACTTTATAATCTCATTTGTGTTTATATTAAATGAAAAAAGCTATCATAATTATTTACTTTAATCTAGTATTATAAAATATATTTACATGAATCTATTAATGTAAATTAAGAACAATTATATAATATAATTATTAAAATATATTAATTTTATGTTCTTCATCCCTAAAGAAATATGGATTTTATTCTAAATAGCAACTAATATCGATGAATATATTTACATAAGAAATTATAAATAGATTCAAAACATATTAGATCAATACCCATAAGACTATTTATATTAAAATAGATAAATCATAGTGTTAATTAGATTAAATTTGGAAATAAAAGATATAAAACATAAATTATAATCTCTTTTACTATATAAATTATTATTTTATTGATTTTAAAATATAATTTACAGCGTTTAAGGTGTAACTTACTTTATAATAGAGAAAATAAATTTTGTAGATATTCTAAACAATCTCTTTTAGTGTATAAAAATTATCCTATTACATAAATTGAGTTAATTAATAAGTCTATGAAACCTAGAATAAGCAGAAAACTTTAATAACGATAAACTTATAAAATAATAATGATGGATGATTTTAATTATAAAATTAAAATAATTCAGCAATTAAAAATATATGAGACTTGAAACAAATCAAAAAGTATATGATTAAGGACATTAATTTTACAAAATGAATCAATAATAGTAAAAGTTAAGAAGATTTAACTATGATTTCAATGTGCAAATTTTATATTAGAATCAGAAAGGAAGCAATAAAAATTGATGACTAGTAACACGAAAGATGTGATAACTTCCATTAAAAATCAAATTCATCTTTTATGATTTTAACAGATAATAATAATTTTATTTTACTACTACATTATTTAGAGATAAGCAGAATGAAATGGATTAGTAAACTAATAATAAATTAATCTTAAATTTATTCGTATCAATATAATAATTAAAATTAACAAATTGCAGGATTTTGTATAAAATGAAGAGAAATATTAGATATTAGAAAAAGAAGGAGAATGAACCTATTAATTAATTTAAGAGGCTAAAGATATTAAAGCTGTAGAAATAGTTTTATTAAAGAAGAAACTAATAGATCATGAAGATGAAGGAGTTCCTTTAACTACCATGAGAGAAATTTCATTATTAAAGAAGTAAGAAATTATAGAAATAATATTTCCAATATCCATATATTGCTCCTCTAAAAAATGTTGTTTATGATTAGTCTAGATTGTATTTAATCTTTATTTCTGTGGATTAAGACTTAACAAATACATGGAAAGTGTAACTTACTTTCATAGAATTAAAGTGAAGAAATTCATTTACTACTAAATTATTGCCATTAAATAGAGTTATTCATAGAGATTTAAAGATTTTAAGTATTTTGGTAGACATAAAACAGCAAAACACTAAAAATATCAGATTTTGGATTAGCAAGAGCATTTAAAGATTCAGAAATTGATTATTTATACAAGATATTTAAGATCATGGGAACTCCAAAAGAGTTCNAACTTACTTTATAATAGAGAAAATAAATTTTGTAGATATTCTAAACAATCTCTTTTAGTGTATAAAAATTATCCTATTACATAAATTGAGTTAATTAATAAGTCTATGAAACCTAGAATAAGCAGAAAACTTTAATAACGATAAACTTATAAAATAATAATGATGGATGATTTTAATTATAAAATTAAAATAATTCAGCAATTAAAAATATATGAGACTTGAAACAAATCAAAAAGTATATGATTAAGGACATTAATTTTACAAAATGAATCAATAATAGTAAAAGTTAAGAAGATTTAACTATGATTTCAATGTGCAAATTTTATATTAGAATCAGAAAGGAAGCAATAAAAATTGATGACTAGTAACACGAAAGATGTGATAACTTCCATTAAAAATCAAATTCATCTTTTATGATTTTAACAGATAATAATAATTTTATTTTACTACTACATTATTTAGAGATAAGCAGAATGAAATGGATTAGTAAACTAATAATAAATTAATCTTAAATTTATTCGTATCAATATAATAATTAAAATTAACAAATTGCAGGATTTTGTATAAAATGAAGAGAAATATTAGATATTAGAAAAAGAAGGAGAATGAACCTATTAATTAATTTAAGAGGCTAAAGATATTAAAGCTGTAGAAATAGTTTTATTAAAGAAGAAACTAATAGATCATGAAGATGAAGGAGTTCCTTTAACTACCATGAGAGAAATTTCATTATTAAAGAAGTAAGAAATTATAGAAATAATATTTCCAATATCCATATATTGCTCCTCTAAAAAATGTTGTTTATGATTAGTCTAGATTGTATTTAATCTTTATTTCTGTGGATTAAGACTTAACAAATACATGGAAAGTGTAACTTACTTTCATAGAATTAAAGTGAAGAAATTCATTTACTACTAAATTATTGCCATTAAATAGAGTTATTCATAGAGATTTAAAGATTTTAAGTATTTTGGTAGACATAAAACAGCAAAACACTAAAAATATCAGATTTTGGATTAGCAAGAGCATTTAAAGATTCAGAAATTGATTATTTATACAAGATATTTAAGATCATGGGAACTCCAAAAGAGTTCACATGGTCAGGTGTTAGTACTTTACCGTATTTTAAGAATACTTTTCCAAAATGACTAAGTTAAGTTAACCCAGTTGCTACTTAAGGGAAAGATATTACAAATTTATGTCCTTTAGAACTAGATTTGCATTCTAAGATGATTGTTTATGATCCATATGCAAGAATTACAGCAGTAGAAGCCTTTAAGCATTCTTATTTTTGACGATTTAAATAACTGATATGAAATTTTATTATAATAATATTAATGAGTAAATTATCGTAGGTTTTGAAATCTCACACAGATGTCAATGGTGTCACCCTTTTTGATCATATCAATAGCTTCATTAATGAAGTCTTGTAAAGCAATCATAAGGATATGAACTCAATCGAACTCTTATCAGATTTCACAAAAAAAAATAGATTTCTTTTCAAAAAATTGTCATCTGAAAGTGAAGTAAATAATCTTAGAGATAAAATCCCTGAATTTGCTGATTGGGTAAAGAGAGTTTCACAATTACTAAAAGTATAATGGCTATTGAATTGTAGGGTTAAACAGTTGCATAAATGCCTACTATTTTATAAGACTTTGTTGCATCCGCAAGATTGTTGGAAGCTGCAGGTTATGGTTTTGGAGAGGAAGAAACCTACTAGATCCAATTAAGTATAAAATAATTAAGTGTAAATATCAATATCTATTTTCAGATTGAAACAAATGCAACTGAAATGACATTTTTTGGAAAGATACTTTGTAGAAATTCTGATTATTATGTTGCCAGAGGAGTAGTACCTAAACTACCTACTGATTATTTAGCACCAAATGCTGAACCTAGAGGAGATGGTGTAAATTATTATACATTCTGGGTTACTAATGATAGTATTTAATACTTTAATCAATAGTATTGACTGATTGGAATGAGTTACCACTAGTAACCCCAGAATAAATTAAAGTGGCTAGAGAAATTAAATATGTTTGTACAGGAAATTTGAATCAAGAATTAAAAACTTATCCTCCTTTTCCTGGAAAAGAAAAGCATTATTTAAAAGCATAATTAGTAAGGATTTTACATTCTAATTTAATTGCACCAAAAGGACTTTATCAATAAAAAGAGGATAATCGTAAATTAATAAAATTATTTATTTAGCAAAGGAATTGGAATTTGTAGAAGAATTCAAAATCCCTGAATTTGCTGAATTGTAAAATCCAGATAGTTGGGTTCATGTTCCTGCATAAATTTTAAAATAAGGAAGAATTACATTATACACAGATGGATTATCTGAAGAAGCTAAAAATGCTTTACTTGAGGCTAATCCAGATCTTGATAGTGAAACAACAAGATTAAAAGGTATTGCTGAAGATCGTCCACTTGAACCATTTTATCAAACAAATTGGTTAATTAAAACTGTTGGAGATTAAATGATATATAATCCTAAAGATGATAATTCTGGTAATAATGTATATGCAACTGTAATACTTAAAAACTACACTTGGAGTGGGGCTGTTACAGTAGCCAATGTATATTTTAACATAAATTAATTTAGTAAAATCAATGGGCATTTTTCTATGTTGGTTATGGATTTAAAGATACTCAAGCAGCTTATGTGCCTATTCAAAATAATGATTTATAATTGGAACCAGAAGATAAATCAGAATTCCCTGAACCAAATCCTAAAAATGCACCTAAACCCCCTGAGCCAGAAAAAGTTGAAGGTCAAGAAGGTTAAGATGGATAAGAATAGCAAGCAGATCCAGATGATTAATGATTTAAAATTATGGCAATTAAATATCAATACAATCCTGCTAATTTATCAATAGTTTATTAATTATTTTCATTTTTTGACTTTTTTTATTCCAAAATTGTTTTGTAAATAATTTTTACTTTTTTGATTTACGATATACTGAATATCATATTTAGTTATACTTTTTTCAGATTTAAGTGGATTAAAGTATAAAAATTTAACTTCTATTCAATAGTATTAAAGTAATATTCTTTTCTTTCAAGTCTATAATTTAATAGCAAATTACATTAATTCTTTATTTATTTATATATAGATTAATAAGAGTATATGATTTGTATAGTTTAACATATTCATTATTATAAAAATTATAATTAATTTAGGAAACAACTTTACAAATTTAAGAATCGGTTGAAACAGTACTCAAAGTTAATAATTAGATAGACTTTTTAAATTTACCATTAAGTATAAAATCAATTACATATAAATGATCACAAAACCTCCAATGGGATACCATGTTATCTTTCTAAGTAATCCATAACAGGAGTTGTTAGTAATGCTTAGAACATGAATTAACAAAATCTCATCTACCAACCAGCATAAAAACCAGTTATTCCCTTTTCTAAATACACTTTTTTAAATGCATTCCAAATTGATAGATGTTTTATTTAATGATTATTTTCCATTTAAAATTATGTTTTAATCATATCAAACGGTTACACAATGATAATATTGGGAATTGCAGTAAAAATAGAACATAGGACAATCTCCTAAACTGTCAATTTTTATGATGGACGCTCTTTGAAATAATATCTAACCCTATGATCCCAATATAAATAATTTGTCCAAGAAACAACTTATTTGAGAATCATGACTTCCATACCAGTAAACAAATCTCTAGTAAATCCTTTGATTCCTCCATCATGTTCCCACATATATTTTAAAACTAAGAATATTTCTGAAATGTACTACCTGATTTTGATTATTATTAAGTCATTAATTAGCATTTAACTCTTTCAAATGGACAAGTTACAAGGGATTCAAACAAAGCAATAGTTATTCCTGCTAATCCTTTATGAAGTGCAGGAGCAGACTCTTTAATCTTTGTAGGTAAAACTTCCATATAAAATTTTGGAATAAATATCATCATAGGCCATCTAAATATACTTAAAAATTTACCTATAGTATTATTTAAATAATTAAATGCTTATTTATGATGAGAACCCTGCGAATATTCCACGAAATATTCCATTCCGATAGTAACTTTCAAGAAATAGCTATAATTTCTCTAAATGTTTACTTGTTTGAAATTGCTATTTTAAGAAGCCTAGATCAAAGTTTTAAAGCGATCAAAGAAATGATCCATAGGTAATCCTAAGATTGCTCTTGACACTCCAATTAGTTGAGTCTCCACAATTGGTTTCAATAATTCTTTGCCCTTATAAATCCATTAAGTTGTTTCAGACATATTATTTAAACCATTTAATCATTATAAAATTACAGCTTATACTCAACTAAGTGCGTATTAAATTAGATAATATGGGTGGATGTTGTAAATTTAATTAAAAACATGATGCATTATTTAATTATAAATTAATGGCAAAATTTTCATAACTTATCAATATAGTATACTATCTCATAATTGATTCATAAAGTATTCTAAAATAGATATAAGGTATTGAAATTTCAAACTTTATGATTCTTTCTATTATGGATAGCTTGCTTATTTAATAAATTATATAATTCTAGAATTTTAGTTTTTTTCAGAATTTTTTTATCAAATATACTAATGAGTAACAAAATTTATAAATTGCTAATAAATTGGATAAAAACATTGAGCAATTTAAGATTTCTTTGGTTAAAGGAGTTTATAGTTTTCATAAATCTATTTTTAGAAATTACAATATTTATCTTCATATAATTAGCTCCAATTTCTAGATTAGATCATTAAACTTATTATTGTTGCCAATAATGTAAACCAAAATAATTTAAAATTTTGAGTAAATTATAATTTATTAAAAAATGTTATTATGTAATTGATAACCTCAAAAATTAACTAATTTTGATATTCTGAACCATTTAACTTATAGAATGATATATTACAGTAATCATATATATTTAAAAAATCAAAAACTAAAAAAATATAAAAATGATCATTGAAATTTATATAAATAAATTAATAATTAATAGATGTCTTAGTAACAAGACCCACCAAGTGCAAAGAAAAGAATTAGAAGATGCACTAAACATGATGAAACCCCTCGTCCCTATAAATGTGGTTGTGGGCGTGGTTACTACAGCTATCCAGCATTGTACACTCATTTGAAGTAAACCTATACATATCTCGAAATAGGATTAAGCATGAAGGGCAGCCTCCTACAGGGACTTAAATACCAAGTGATAAGCACTATGGAAGTAGGGGAAGACCAAGAGAGAAAAATTTTAACTTCGAAGAAGAAAGCAAGCATCAAGTCTTTATTGATGAAGATAAGAGGGAAGACAATCAGAAAGATGAGAAAGTCACAATCAATTAATGAAAATAGAAGAAAGCAAAGGGCTTTTTTCTTTTATTAATAATTTATATCTAATACTTATTAATAAACTCTTTCTATAAATGAATTGGAAACAAGTTTATGCTTTCTCCGAACATAGAACTAAAAGAAGTATATTGTATTATTCTATTTAGTATTATCTGGAAATGCAAAGTTTAAAGAACATAAATCTAATATTCATAGTCCAAGAAGTAATTCTTTCTTTAACATTATAGATAGTCAACATTCTCATAAGGATACCATGGTTGGACTTTAGAGGATTTCAAAAGAGATTGTAGAAAGTCTAACAAAAGCTTTAACTCCAAATTGTAGAGTTCGTTAGAATTCTCCAAAGCCATTACTCTAAGAGTAGGAACAGAAATAAATACTAAAACCCAACAAAGAACCTGAAATTATGAGATAACCTTTGGAATAATTAGAAAATGTAAAGCCAAATAAAGAAATAGAAAATGTAGAGTACATTAACTTTACAAAATTTGCTGTAAAATATTCAATCAAATATTTTAGAGAAAGATATCTTAATAACCAATTAAAGAAATCAAAATTTAAAAAAATGAGTAAAAAATAACAAGATAGAGATCTTAGGATTTCCATTCAAAATAAGAAGAATGGTTAAGAAAAAAGAATGAAAAAGTATTGAAATAAAGAATGGAATAATAATGTTTATAATAAAGGAAGGAAAATCGACTCAGCTTTCTAGAAAAATCCTAGACGGATAGATTTTAATGATTATATATTATTTTACCTTACTTCACTATTATTTCTAATTATTATCAATTATTTATTTTAAATTTAAAGAAAAATATGAACAGATATCTGTAAGATCATGTATTGTGTATTTAATGTACTAAAACATACAAACATATATGTATCATTTTTTGATTTATTTGACAATTTTCACTTCTTCAACCAAAAATGCTCTAATTATTCTGTTTTTTAAAGCACCAGCACTTAAAACACCACCATATGGTCTTGAAACTGTTCTTTGTCTTCTTGAAAGTTGCTTAAGCTTAGTTGGTCTAATTCTTTTAAGCCCATTAAGAACCACATTCAAATTTGAGTCAGCACAGGTTGAGGCACTTGTCTTTTTATTTGGATATTGGACAACAACATTACCGCCTATATGATACTCATATCAATATACCTGGTGTCTTAACCTTTCTAATTTTATTAGATCTTGTGTTGTATGATGTTCTTCTTCTATATGTCACTCTAACACCCATAATTTAATATCTTTTATTTAATTATATGAATTTATTGTCTGAAAAAATTTATGTATTATTAATAGCTTATTAATATATTTGATTTGAAGTATTATTAACAAGAAGCTTAAACTTATGAGTTTCTTACAATCACTAATAGAACAATATAAATGTTTTATGAACCAATATAAGTATCAATTCTATGTTATTTTTATTCAATTTAATTTAGATTTAAAAGAATTCAAAAATGTAGCTAAAATATGAATATAGCATAATCGAAAAGAGTTATAAATAACAATGATTTAAAATTAAAATTCGAAAAATAGTGTAAAGAAACTTTAATATTCATATAAAAAAAAGTCTTAACTCTCTTAAAGTTTGAAGAGTAATGAAAACTTTAGTACAGCATTCTATTTCATAATGAAAAATAGGTTATGTATAATGAAACTAAAACAAAAATATAATATCATAAAATATTTACTTTATGTAACTCTATAATGCTACAAAAATAGATTAGAAATTAAATCTATTAATACTATTTAATCCTCAAGTCTCTCATGTAATTATTTTAATATATTAAATTTATTTATCTCTAATAGTTCTTAATTATAGTTGAAATAAGATATTTTTCCAAATTTCAATCAGATATAGAATCTCACTTGTATTATTTGTATAATTTATGGTTTTAGATTTATTGATCTTATTTTATAGGCTTCTTATTTAATTATTTTAAGACAATATCATTAGTAAATGTTTTAGTTAACAAAATATAATGTATCCATTATATTTTAATAGATTTTTTTCCATTAGAAATCAAAATCAACAAACTTCTAAATTGTATTTTATTTTTTTCTAAATTAAATAATAAAAATAAGTTTATTGATGGGTCCTAAGTCTTCCAAAGATAAACCATAAGAACCTTAAAAATAGCCACCTAAACCAGCTTAAATAAAATCATAAAATGTTAAAAAGAAGCCAAGTTAAGTTGATGAAGATGTAATCCACATATTTTTTAATGTTAGATATGGATGTATGATTTGATTTTGTAATATTTGGCTTCACCCATATGGAGAAACCCAATATCTGATTTTTTGGATGAAAACTGCATAATTTTTGATGATGAAGAAGAGAACAAGATCGTATATTAAGAAATACATAAGGTGAGAATTATATTTAAATCTAGAAATTTAAAAGTATGATAGAAGCTATGATTGAATAATTAATGGTTGACATAGGTGTTGAAGATGAAGAACAATTAAGGAAGGTTATTGAAATTGGATTGAAAAATAAAAAACATAAAAAGTACTTTGAGCAATTGCTGATTGTTGAAAATTTCTTAGTCTTTAAGAAGTTGATGTTGAAAAGAAACAAGGAATTAGAATATGAAGCCTTAAAAGAATTATAAAAAATAGATGTAAAGATATATCTTACAGAAGGGCGGAAAAAATCCTGAAATGGAAATGAAAGTTAAATAGGCTGAACTTGAAAAAGAAAGAATGGAAATTGAACATGCTGTTGCAATGTCTATTGCTGTTGAAAATGAAAAAGCTAAAATTTAAATTTAAGAAGAAGAAGAATTTATTGAAGCAATTAGATAAAGTTAAATATCATATTAAAGATAGTGTATCTATATTCTAATATCATATTTAGAAGAGGAAATTTTATTAAGTCAAGTTTAATAGTAACCAGCAGTTGTTAATCACTAAGCACCTATTTAAAATCAATAAATTTAGCCTTAACCTGATTAAAAACCAGAATCAGTTTTGATTTTTGAAGATGATGTTCCAAAAGAAAAAGAATAGGCACCATAACAATAGCAATAAGTAAAATAAAAAGAGAAGACTGAACCTTCATAAATTAAATAAAAAGAGCCTCTTCCATAGATAGTATAATAAAAAGTTGAGGTTATGTCTTTAGCTTAAGAAAGAGAAGCCTTGTTAGCTTAAGGAAATCAATTAAAAGAAAATTTAAAAGAAATTGTAAAATATATTATTCTTAAAATTAGGAAGAAACATTTAAACAAAATATTAAAAATTAATAAGATTAAGAAACTTTAGAATAAAGAAAATAAAGATTATAATAATAAAGAGAATTAATTAAGTAAAAAAAGATTAAAGAGAGATAAGATGAATTAAAGAAATACTAAGAGGTATGTAAACTAATATATAAATTAGGGAGAACAATAAGAATAAAAACCTGAATAATAGGAAAAAGGTCCTTTAGTTGTGGATATGGTAAATAAATTGATAATAAATATATTTAGACTGAATTTATAGCAGACCAAAAGAGATCATAAGAATTAGAGTTGAAGAAATAAGAATTAAAAAAGAGAGCAGAATTATTAAAGAAAATAAAATAGGATGCATTACAAGAGTAAGGATGAAATAATAATTATATAATATTATGTAATATTATTCATTTATTCTTTTCAATCCTTTAGTATAACGGAGTATAAGATACATTATTAATTTAGCTAGTTTAATGTTTTTGTTTTAATATAAAAACTTAGAATATTTTTGAATCATTTATTATGTGATTTTAAATTTATGATAACTTTTATGTTATATTCATGGGGAAAAAACTCTTAATTTCTATATTAGAATTGAACATAACAATTATTTGATAATAAAGTAAGAATATAGTTGTATTAATTTTTAATTTCAATTTTATTTTTAAATGTTATCTTCTAAATCAGAATTAAAAATGTGATTACTCTTTTTAAAATAAAGATTTTAATTAAAGTATATTGATGATTGTAATATCAATTAAAAAGTCTTGAAAAATATATAATTCTATATTATTATTCCTAATTAAATTTGATTATTATTTAAAATAGAGATAATTTTATTTTACATTTCAATTAATTAATAACAATGTTTAATTTTAATATTAAAGAATAATATTGTATAATTATTTATATATTCCATTATCTTTTGATAAAAATAACATTCAATGAAGATAATGCTCGTATCTTTAAACATTTCTTCTTAGAATTTACTCCAATGGACCCATCATTCTTGTAAATGATTTAAAATCACAATAATATAAAGTACAATCTGTCTATAAATATTAATTTATGTAGAATTACTATTGCTATAATAGATGCCTATCTAGGAGTGTTTTTTAATAATGCTAATTCTCCAAAATAATCTCCTGATTTGTAGGCATAAACTTTTTCTAATTAACCATCTTTATAAGCTTCCAATTCTCCTTCAGCAATTAAATAAATTGTATCTCCTTACTCTCCCTATTAAATTATAATAATATTATAACTTATTTAATAACTTTGTCTCCTCTATAATATTTAACTTCTCTCAAAACATCACAAAACTATAATCTCTCATAAGTATCCATAGACTATAAAATTTCAATTTTATTTAAAATTTATTCCATCTATTCTCTCTTTCTAATAGCTGCATCTTTCACAATATTATTAAAGGTTGCTCTATCTAAAGCAAAAGCTACTACAGGTTATATTGCTTTAATAGTTGCAGCACGAGGTACATTATACAACAAAGCAAGTTCACCAAAAGATTCTCCAGGTAAATACTTTTTTAAGAATTTTTCTTGAGATTGATTTGGAAATTTCTTTGTACATTCTAATTCTCCCTCATCAATTACATATAATTCATTTCCATCATCTCCTTAACGAATAACGTAATCTCCAGGCCTAAAAAATTGTGAAAAATTCATATAATTACTAAAACTTTTTCTCTTCCATTGCATCTATAACAGTTTATAGATTTTATTCATCTAATGCTTAAAATAGAAATGAATTTAAAATCTTTTTTCTTATTCTATCAATTTAATCTTTATTTTTTTCAATAACCCTTGGTTTAAAATCCTCTTTTTTATTAAATTATCCATAAACTTCAGCTGAAACTCCTGTTCTATTTGTTTTTTTTGATTCTTTCTAAATAGGTTAAACTTCATCCTCATCATCTTCTTCTTCATCACTTTGATAATGTTATTCTTCTGAGGTTTTTACTTTAGTATTTGTCAATTCTTAAAATCATATATTTCTTACATAATTATTAAAGCCAATTTATACACCAACTCACAATATCCTCTGGTCTAGCAAGCAACAATTAGGCTAATAGTTAATCAAATATTGGCTTAACATTCTTATTCATATATTCCTATATTGTTTCTTTCAATTAATTCATATATAAATATTAAGATTAATATATTATTTGTATTTGTTTCTAAATATATATGAAAGATTAAAAATAATATTATTCAATCTTAAAAAAGTATATATAAATCATAAATCTAAAAGCATTACTTATACTTTTAACAACATCATAATAATTTAAGAGATATAAAAATATTAAAAAAAATATAATTATAAATAAAAACAATATATTTCAATAAATATATTACATATATATTTAATAATTCAATTATAAAATTCATCTTTTTTTGTTTTATTGTTATTTCCATTTATGCCTTTAATTTTCATAATATTCAGTTTAATCTTTATTTGCAAAAGTGTCAACTTCAATTTCTGATTTTAATTCAGGATTCTCCTCGACACTTTGCTTTTCAAACTCTCTTTCATCAACTATTTTCTATTTCATTAATTCATAAAATTACTTAATCTGATAAATCAAATTCTGGATGCACTAATTTTACTTTGGATATTAAAACAGGAATATTGTTTAATAATGCATAATGCACTACTTCACAAGCATCTTATAGCTTTGGAGATATGTTATGTCCCAATTATGCCTCTGTAATTACTTATCTAATTCTCAACATCAAAAAATCTCTTTATTTCCCTTAAATTATGATTCTATTCAATTGTTCGATTTTATCAACTATGTGAGGATTATTTGCATTCTACTTCTAAGTATTAGTCCCACTAACTTTTTTAAAGAATTATCCAGCCTGAGTTAAATTAGGTTCCTATTTAAGTTAACCCATTAATTTTTACAAAAATCCTTTCATTTGATATTTAATTGAAATTTAATATTTATTTAATAGAAAATCATAACATGAATGCATATGAACTTTTCACTAAAAAAATTAATAATTAAGAACAGAAAGAATGTTTATAATTACTACTTTATACTTAGTAAGGAAATTGGCAATTTGCTTAATTGCTACATACATTAATTAATTATTATTCTAAAGATAGTAATATAGATCTTTCAAAAATATTAATCAAAAAAGATATCAATAATAATATTCAATTATGCAATACCTATTAATATGAAAAAAGAAAGAGTCCAAAAAAAGAAAAAGTAATTAAATTTATGAAGTATTTATTTCAAAATCATTACAAATCTTAATATATAATAGATGCAGAATAAGATTGGAATATATTTTAAAAATGGATTGCTGCATTTGAAAAAATATGGTTTCCTAAGAAATCTGTTATACATAAAGTAATTAATAAAATTGGATCAATTAATTATCCTCAATTACTATTGCTTCCTAATCAGAATATGTATTTATTATTACAATATTTAGAATTCATTCAAAATCTAATAATCAAAATTCTTTGATTTTATAGAATTCGTTTCACTTAAATTTTAATGGAATTGAATACTTAAATAACCAATTCTGGAATGAATTTTTTAAAGAAAAAGGCTAATAAGATTCATATAATGAAATATATATCTCCTGGAATAAATTTATTGGTTTAATAGATCCCATACATCTGATACCTATAGGAGAAGGTAAACTATATAATTAAGAAAAGTAATCATATTTTGGTTGTGACTAATTTTTTTACACAATTCCAAATGGTAAATTTACACATTTATAATTTAACAATTAAGATATTAAACGAAATAAAGGAGATGGATCAGATTTTAGAAAAAATAATTCTATTTCTTTTTCAGATGAATTCAATATTACTCCTAATTTATCAAAGTCTCTATTTGATGGTGGATGGTTGAATTAGATTTTAGTAGATTATTTAATTAAAAAATATAATATGGAATAAAAATTGATTAATTAAAGGTTAGCCAAATACTAAATTATTGTAATGGATACAAGATAAGCTTAAGATATTTTTTCTAGTCAAATCACCAAAAATGAGGAAATTAATTTGGAATATGCTTAATAATTTTGGAATGATCAAAATTTTGAGGTAAATAAAAGTATGAGATTAATAATCTTGATAAATGTTGACAGATGTCATTTTATTTGCATTTGCATTGAAGAAGATGTTATATATATCCTAAATTCAATGAATTCTACTTGGAGTGATAATATTGTAGGCCAATAAGTTAATAAATTTTATTAATTACTCAAAACAAAAAAAAGTTAAATTAAGATCTAATCTTAAGATTAAGTAAGCTCATATTAATAGCAAGTAAAAATATAAATATTAAATGTGCCTCAATAAAGAAATGGTTATGATTGTTCAATTTATACTTTATTCAATTCAATGTAATTGATTAAACATTCTCATACTAAAATTACAGATATTGATTTTCAAGTATCACCATTACAAATATCTGAATTAAGATTTCAGTTTTTCCAAGATTTAATTAATAATAATGCATTTTTATCAAATTAAAAAGTCTGGTATCCTATTAGTAGATGATTAATTATAATATTTAGATTCATGTCAAGAAAATAGTTTTAAATAAATAACAATATCATATATATCATTATTAGTTAAAAAGTATTGAAAAATTAAATAATTAAACTTCATTTCAAAATAGTATATTAGTAATAAACATTTAATCTGGGTCAGCTGTGGCCTATAAACATTCACCATAATTCAATAAATCTCTATTTGGACTTAAATGAGAAATTCTCACATGATCCTTAAGAGGAACTCTACTATGATTCATTCTTGCAGCACGATATCTTTCTTCTATTATTTCTGTAAAATTTGGTTGACTTGTTAATCTTTCATTTATCATTTTGATTAAAGGTTATTTTAATAACTTTTTATCAATTTTAGGTTAATCCTTCCTTTATATTCTATATGATGTAGGTGGTATCTAATAAATCAATAATATTATACAAATCCTCCCATTTTATTTTATTATTTTACTTTATTCATGTATAAAACTTCTTCTCTGTCATTTGAATTTTATAAGACTGAAATAAATAAATCTTATGGATTAATTCTTAATAGATCATTTGAATGAGAATCCTATTTAGCTTATCTTGGAGTTGAAATTTCAAATTCAAATTAGGAAGTAATAAATAATTTTTAAAAGCTTGCTTCTGGAGTAACATGAGATAAAAATCTATGTGGTTGTTTAATTACATTCATATTTTTTAAATAGTAATTAATAACTTCTATACCACAATAATATTAGGGTGTATTATTATTTTATTAATTCTATGTTTAACTTATGAATGTAAAGGGGAGAAAAGTAGCTTTACTTACTAAATTCTAATCAATATGTTATATTCCTTTAGGAAGTTTTTTTAAATATTATCCAATATTTTAAGTAGATATCTAATAATGATTAGAATTTTCAGGTTCTGATCTTCCCCAAATAGCTCTGCAATGATAAAATTATGCCTTTTCTAAATTAGCTTATAAATAGGCTTCTTATCCAAGTTTATCAAAGCATACAACCTCTAAATATTTATCTTTAAAATGCCAAGAATATTGTAATAACTTCTTTAATATTTTGACTGCAGTCTCATGCATTTTTAAATTATGTGCTATATTACTTAGTTTTAATAAGACTTTTAATCTAAATGATTTCTAGACTTCTTCAACATCATTACATATATCACATAAATGCAACTAAAATAATGATTGTAATTACTAATTATGTATAAGTTTAGATGGCTGAAGAATAATATGTAAATTTTAAATAGGTTTCTGCCACCAATATGTAAGCATTTAGTAATCCTAAAATGTTGTCTCTTACAACGTGTAAAATCATAACATCTACAATTGCATCGATTGCCTTATCAAGTTCTTTATTTTTGAATGCTGTTGAGTATTATTATTATAACTGTTACAAAATTGCAGGGAATTTACTATTTCTTCTTTAAAATAATGTTGAACTAATAGATTTATTATGATGTGCTCTACTAGTGGTTAACAAATCACTATTCATTTAAGTTTCGGTTTCATGAGTTTTCAATGAATCAAGATTTAATTTTAGTAATTTTTTCTTAATAGATTCAGAATGAGAGACTCCTCTCTTAGGTGTATTTGGTTAATAAATTTTGTTTTATAACATTTATCAAATATATTAAATAAAATTCATATACATCTTTATAATAAAGAAAAAGTTCATTATTACAATTTAAATGAAACAACATTTAAAATAGTATTCTATAAATTTCCTAATCTAACTAAATTTTTAACTTTTCTTTATAATTAATCTCCATTATCAATAAAAGGAGTATCATATTTTTATTTATATTATTTTTATCTTTATTTACTTTCATGATACAATTCATTGAGTCTGAATTCAGTTATACTCTTATAAGAATCTCCTTAACTTTCATGAGAAATATCATTTTCTCTAGATAATTATGGTCTTTGAACTTTTCTGGAAGTTAATTTAGTTTTTGACATTCTAGGTTAAGATCTGCAAGTTTAACTTCCATTTTCAAAAAAATCCTTTAATACTTAAGGATTTGATTAATTAATGCTAAATTTATCTACTGCCTCTATAAATTTATTTCTGATATTTAATTTAGAAACTTCTGATTCAGATCTATACATTTTCACACTAGGTTTTTACTGATTTCTAATTTGTTCAGGCAAATCTCTATTAAAAACATGGTATTTTATTTAATCTTCAATACTATATCACTAATAAATATACTTTTAAATATGATTATAATATTCTTAACACTATTTTTCAGGTTTTCTTTTCACTTCTGTTTATTTGAGTACTGTGTTTCTTAATTTTTAAAATAATGAAATAGGTTGAACTTATACTTTAATTTCTTATTAACTAGATTGTTATTTTTATTAATCTAAATTTCTATGTACATAATCAAAAAACCATTTCTTCTTTTAAAATACATTCATCATCCTCCATGCATCTTCATCAGTTATATCTTTTTTTAGTAATAATTCTTTTTCTTCTGCATTCAAACGTTCCCCACTTAGTTTCTCACATCTCTTTATCAATTATTCTTCTTTACCACTAGATGTACTTCTTTATGAAAATTTTCTAACTGGTACTCTGAATCTAGATTATGATATAGGTTAAATAAGTTCCTTGGTACTGGAAGTTAATTACATTAATGTTTCTTTCCTTTATAATTTTGGTGGATTTTATGGTTTTGGATTCTATGCTATAATAACTGATTATTTTCTTTATTGTTAAAATCTTTCAACTAGACTAAATATTTGATCTGCTTAATTTTTTTTAATTGATTTATGTCTTGTTTATTAACGTCTAGGATTATTTCTAACAGATTTATCAATATCATTATGATCCATTTGTAACATTTATTTAGCACTTATTGATCCTTTTAAGAAGAGATCAAAAATTTTGTTATTAGGCATAGTGACTATTTCTAATCCAAGAGGTGGAGGTACAAATGTTGATTTAGTTGTTGAAGTGAATTCGACAGTTTTTGGAGTTGAATTATGAGAATGAAGTTTATCAAATTTCATAATATAAATTAACATCAAATTATTCAATTCAATTCTAATAATAAAATCATTCTGAATGATTGTTAATTAAAATTAGATATATATAATACTCTAATTTAATTATGGTTTTTTACAATATATAAATTATCTTCTAAGTGCATTAATTTGTTTTGAATTTTATTATATTTTTATTATAAATATATGTATTTAATGATCGGATAATATAGATAATATTTATGCTATATGTTTTTAATTATTTATAAAATTTTGTTTTAATTCAAAATATATATCAATAGTTTTATTAAAAATACACCCACAAAATTAGATCTTTTTATAATAATAATAAAATGAATATATAGTTATTATAATTTATATTCTTATTTGTGAATAAATTTTCAAAAATTATAAAGTTAATTGATTATTCAAAAGAATATCTAAAATTCTTAACATTAATATCTAAATAAAACCAATACATTCAAATAGATTTGAATGTATTTAGTGAAATTTAAATCAAATAAGTATTTTCAGTAATGAAATATCTTGAAAACAATTTATAGGAAATAATACCAATTCTAAATCTTATAATCTCTCTAAATAAATTTTATTATGATTTCATAGATGATTGTTGTCTTCATATTTGATTAAATTAAGATTTTATGTATATATTTCTTATGATTTGTAATATGCAAAATAGAGTATTGTAATATATATTAAAGTGTAAAAATAATTATGTCATTATCTTAAAGAATAACAGTGACATAAAAGGGAAGGGAACTACAAGAATAACTTAGAGAACAAAACAGACAACCCTAAAAACCAGCATTAGTCAAGGAAAATTAAGGTAAAACAATTAGGAAGAATTGATAGATAGTTTAGCTCATTTTTTTGATAAAGAACTTAAAGCATAAGATTAACTTAATAGTTATGCTTCATTAATACAAAATAGATTGAAATCTCCAGAATAAATTATAGAATTTCTTGAAACAAAATTTTAGAAACAACCTTTATTTGTTTAAAAGGAGATGTAAAAAGTAGGATAAAGAATATTTCACTATGGAAATAGAGAGATTCATTCCTAAGCAGTTTTACCTTAATTAGATTTTAGGTAAAAGTAATATATGAAAAACAAATATGCAAATTACAGTGAAAATTTATCATCTAGATAATCAAGTACAAAAATAATTTAAAATGTTAGGACATTAAGTTGAGGAAGGATTAACAAAAAAAGTTAATTTCATGTTATTTTAAGAAGGAAAGATAGAGAGAATGATCACTAAGTATGAAAAATTCAATGAAAAAGCTAAATTAATACCTTAATATAAGAAGGATGATAAAAAAGGAGAAGATTTTATGAAATAGTTACTTTAAAGAATGGATGCAGGCTAAGAAACAAGAGTTGAATCATTATAAGAAATAAGATAATAGCATTAAGCAGAATTAAGTTTACTTGAATATTAAAATCTATAATAGGAGAGATTAAGATAAACTATGTCAGATTTGCATAAATCAAAATATGGAAGATATTGGAATAAATTAAAATTATCATCTAGAACAGATAAATGATAATATTGTTTTTGTAAAATATATGACTTATAAATTATTATGTTTATTATACTATCAAATATTTGGATGCATTAACTCATTCAGTTTCTCAGCTCCTTAAATGAATTTTACAATATGTTAATCTAACAAACCTTTGCTGCCTTAAATTTCTTGAGCCACTTATTTGATATTTGGTTACAATTGATGCAATAAAACTTATTGATCTTCTACATATTTAAGCTATGAAACCCAAAAATCCTATTTTTTTTAATTAATATATATACATGAGTTCTTTGATAACTTTCTAATTCAACTTTTCTTCCTGCAAATTCCTTATCAATTCTTTCAAATTCAACTGCTGATTAATCCTTCTTTCTTTAATTTTCAATACCTGATACTGCAAAGTGAATCTATTTTAATTGTCTAAATATATATATACCCAATCAGCTATATCTAAAAATGCTTTGGTATATTAAGGATCTTAAAAGACTTTTTAAAATTATGGATCGGCCTTCATCTCAAGTAATAAGTTTTCTTTTTCTTAACTTACTCCTTTAAATTAAAAGTTAGCTAATCTACTTTGAAAATCAGCTCCTTTATCTTAATCAAACCTGAATTTTAATTAGTGAATATTACACTTTCTTTTTAAAATCAGGCCAGTTGAATTTACTTTAGTCTTCATTGTAGATAATATGGAACAATTTTGACATGAATTAATCCATTCCTTAAGGTAATTATCCTATCTTATTCAATTCCTTTGAATCAATCTTTATAAGGTTATTTAAGAAATTACTTTTGAGCAAGTTTCTTTCATAGCACTTGAAATTGAATCTATAGCTTTTTGAATTGCAGTTAATTCATCTTTTTTACCTTTTTTATAGGTTTCGCTTTTTTTTAGTTTTTCCTTAATATATAAATAAGTAAAACTTACTTATTCTGATTATATTTTATCAATTAGCTATTTTACAGTACGACTAATAACTGTTTTTTTCTCAACTAGCTCTTCTGTTAATTCATCACTTTAATTAATAATCCTAAAATAGAAAATTATATGACTTTTCAAAATCTTCAGCTTCTTTTTTTAAATATTCATCTGTTTTGAAAAGATGATCACTGAGTTAAGGAACATATGTTTGAGATAAATAATCATGGAGTATTTTAGCTTTTGCGTCATTAGTTAATATGACTTCTTACATTAATATAATTGCAGAAAATAAATTTAATTTAATAATAAAACAAATAAAAAATGGGTAATTAATAATAAAGCGAATCTTAAAATGAGTTTCTAGAAAAGAAATTAGATCCTAATTATGGAGAGATTAGTCTATATAAAAATAAAGTCAACAATTCAATATTAGCAAAGATTAAATAAGTGTACTCTAATGATACTACAGCAGAAGCAATAAAAGCCAGTTTAGTAAAAAGGTATATGTTGAATTTAAGTAAGATTATAATTGAATCATAAATGCTTGGTTAAAATACTATCATTTGATAATGGAAAGATGGATGACTTATGTAGTTCGTTTACAATATTATCAATAACAGTTGAATACTTTAATGAAACATTATAAAATGACATTCATCAAAGAAAAGTTCATAAGACTATATATTCAGAACAAGAGCTATGTTATATTATCTATGAGATCTCTAGTCTATGTCATTATATGAAAACTCTAAATTATGAAATTATTGACATCTATCCTTAGAGAATTCTAATTGATGATAAAAGATAGATTAAGTACTATGATTAGTTTCTTGATAATTCAAGACTTAGCAATTATTACTAGGTTCTCTTTAATTAAAGAGATTTAGAATACTTAGCTCCAGAATAATTAATTCTCTTAGCTGAAAAAGATTAAAATGATATAAACGATTAAGAATTAGTAAATGTTTTTTGTCTTGGTCTTATGATAGTCAGTTTAATAAGTGGTTAAAGATGTATTGAATTTTTCAATCAAGAAAAATTCTAATTTAAAAAAGACTATGTATGGAGACTAATTGATAAATATTGTTCAAAATATTAGTATAGTGATTACTTTAAATCCATCATTCAATCAATGCTCAAATTACATAATGAAGGTAGACCAAATTATCAAAGTTTATTACAAATACTCCATCCATAATAAGATAGTTTTGCCACTTTTTTGAATCCAATAGGGAAATAGGGAGGTATTAAAAATTAATAATCATAGAAATGCTTGAATCTTAAATTTAATCATCTCGCACTCAAAGTTCAGCCTCTAGATCACGTATTTTATTAAGTGATCCAGTGGATTTTAGTGAAATAGATAGAAGAATTATGTCTGCTCGACAAAAAGCATAAAATACTTTAGATTAAATAGGATTAGATCTAAAATTGAGTAATTTTGAGACCACTTAAATTAATATTATTGAAGCAAGTTAATGATTGTAGCAATTTATTAAATCAAATTTTATTAAAAATTATAATGTAACGATAAGAGTCATAAAAGAATCAGGAAATGATAGTTAGATTCCTTAACTTTTGTGCTATCTTAATTTAAAAGAATGTGAAGGGATACATTTAGAGATAGAGACATAAAATTATTATGATGCATATCAGAAGATTCAAAGCTATTTTAAATGGATTTATTCAAGGTTTTTCATCAATTCTATATATTAGGATATAGGACAAGATAAATATTGAAAGTCCCTGATGTGGCTAAGTTAAGATAAAATATTATAGAAACTGATGATGGAAGTATATATCTCAAGAATTATATTAAGCATATGGAAATCCATAAATAAGACAAAAAAAGATAAGATTAATAAGAATGATTGAAAACTATTTATAGAATGGCCAATTTTACAAAAAACTAAAAAGAGTGAAGAGTTCTTAGAAATAATTCGTTCCTAATCAATATTTGGATAATGAATTTGTTAGTTAAGACTAAAAATTCTAATAAAATTATTACAAAAAAGCTTAAAAACAACCACTTTAATAAAACTAAGTTGAGCATCAATATTATGATTAACTAATACAAAATGAATATTCAGAATAACCATAACAATATTATTAAGAGTATATGCAATAGAATTCTTAAATTCATGATAAAAGCCATTCCAATTCTAATTTATCAGGATAATATCATCAATCATAAAGATTTGATTATTAATAAGATGAAAGACCAATTAGAACAAAAAATTAAACTAATTTTTCAATTCAAGATAGGACAACACCTGAAAGAAATTCATATGATGGTGATAGACCAATATGTGGAAAGGGTAAATATACTTATGAAGAAGATGATCGACCAATAAATGCAAAAAATAATGCTAATATTTATAATAATTATGAAGATGAAAGACCTATTGCTTCAAAAAAAGCTAATAATTATTATGAAGATGATAGATCTATAGCTGCAAAAAACATAAATGCATATAATTAATATCAGGATGAAAGACCAATCAAAAAAGGAAAAGATATTTATTAATAAGAATAAGAATAATATGTAGATAATGATAGACCAATTGCAAGTACAGGAAAATATCAATAATTTGAGGATGAAAGACCATTAGGTGGTAAAGGATAATATGATATACCTCCAGATGAACTACCTATTAGTGGAAAGGGTACTTATGGTAATTTTGAAGATGAAGAAGCACCTCCAAAGAAATAAAAGCCACCTCCCAGAAAAAAGAATGAATAAAAAAAGGAGAATAAATAAATTGAGGAGAGATAACAAAATATTTATGACAATTAAAATGAAAATGAACCACCTTTAGGAAAAATGTAAAACGAAGATTTTAATGATCAAGAAAAACCAAAACCTAAGAAGAAAGATCCTAAACTATTAGAAAATCTTAAAAAAAGAACAAAATATGATCCAAGAAAAGCAATATAAGAAGCTAAGAAAAAATAAGAAGAATAATAATAAATTGAATAAATTGATGTTGAAGATGTAGTTGAATAATAAGAGAAAGAAGCTCCTCCTTAACAATAACAGTAGGTTCCTTAAAAAAAATAGGTTTTATCATAAAAAAATCTTTAAGAAAGGTAATAATCACCTAAACCAAATAAACTTAATTTGAGTGCGACTCCAGAAAAATAAGCACCTTCAATTGAATAAGTTGGAGAATGCTCACCTAAAGATGATGCTTCTGATCAAAAGCCAAAGAATTTTTTAAAAAGAAAATCTAAATAAATTCCATTAAAAAATCCAAAAGTAGATCCTAAAACCGTTAAATCAAAAGTAAAAAATTGTTGGAATGCTGGAAATACAATGGATGATCCAGAGTTTGATTGCAATGAGGATATACCTTAAAGTCCTAAAGCTTATATAAATAATAAATCTCCTTCTAGAAGGTTTGAATAAAAGGGATCAGACTAACAATTAAATTATTAATAATAATAATAATAATAATTATTATAATAATAATAATAATAATAATAATAATAATAATAATAATAATAATAACTAATATAATAATAATAGATTTAATAAAATAAATCATAGGGCCCATTACATGTGTAAGTGTAATTAGTTCAAGAGAATTTATCATAATATTAAATAAATCCTAGCCATTAAGCTAATCATTTATAATAGTAGAAAAAGTAATCTATTCAACTTGATGAATTGGAAAGGGCTTATTATTCAAAGTACACCTAAAAATTAGAAAGTATTTGAAATTGATTAATAATTTAGCGACTAAAATGAATCTTAAAGTGTTGGATCAAGAAAGATAATAAAATTCAAGAGGAGTTCCAATAATTACAACTAAATCCAGATTTTTTACTTCATTCAGAGTTAATGATTTTGAAAGACTCTTAGCCTAGTTAGAGGATTAATATAATAAATTGCAAATATCAAAATGATAAATAAATTATTATTAACTGTTATATTAAATTTGAATGGAATAAGAAATAATAGACTGGGCTAATACATTCGAAAACACAAAGAGTATCGATGATCTAAAAACAGGTACTTTTTGATAAAAATCCAAGGTGTTGCATTATGTTAGATAATATCAAAAGAATTATTTTAAGACAAAAGATAATGTGAATTAAAGATAAGAGTAATAAATTGTACAAAACAAGACTATCAAAGTTGTATAAGGAATTTAACATTTGCATTATCTTTGCTAGAGGAAAGTCAATAGATATAAGTGAAACATTTAACAGGATAAATGCTTTACCAAAATCCATTAAAGATTTTTTAGATTCTACAATAATTTTATAGATCAAAGTCTGTATCATCGGTTTCATCAAAACCTCCTAAAGCACCTTAAAAATAAGATGAGCCTTTATTTTATGTTGATGAAAACTTAGTTTAACCTAATCAATCTATCTAGAACACATCTAATGAAGAAATAATTGCAAATAAATATAAAATGATTAAACCAAATAGCCCATATTAAGAGACCAATAACAATCAATAAAGATCACAAACTCATTAAACTGAATATGCTGAAAACTCAAATCGATCAAAGCCATAAAATTAATCTAATGATTCAATTAGTAATCTGACACCTATTAAATCTAATAAAGAATCATACAATTAGAAATTAAAGCATGAATTATAAGTTTTAGAGAATCAAATAGCAAAAGAATAATAAAATCTATTATTAAAAAACAATAGAGAAAACAAATCAAAACATATTTAAGAAAGCTAGAGCTAACATGAAGTATTAAATTAAGATTAAAATTGTAATTATTAATAAGAGCATTAAAATTTAATCAATAGCGAATAAAAATAATAATTAATAGAATGGCTTAAATAAATTCGATTAATTAAATCAAATGCATAAGGCTTAGAAAATAAACTGCCTAAAATTTGTAAAAATGGAGTTATTTTTTTTGATTTAATTAATAGACTTACTGGTAGAGATGAAGTTTTAAAAGGAGCATTAAGAAACCCAAAAAGTCTCAGAGAAATCAGACATAATTATAGAAGAGTACTTGAATATCTGAAGTAACTTGAAAGAATGAGTTACACATATTTAAATTCAGAATAATCGTTAATTGATGGAGATGAAGGAGTATTTTGGGGTTTGATGCATGATATTAAAGTTTATTACACAAATTGTGGAAATGTCGCAATAACTAATTGTTCTTAATCAGTAGATACATCATTGAGATAAACTTAAAAATAATAGTAATGTTAAAAAAATACTTAGTCTTTTTAATAAAATTCTTAATCTAAATTACAATAACAAATAACACTTTCTTAAAAAAAATAATTACATAAACAATCATTTGCAGATGCATAATTAGAAATAACAATAGATTAACCATAATAATCAAAATCTGTTAAACCAAGTACTGCAAATAGATCGCCTGTTGGACCTTATTCAAGAATTCATAATATGAAATAAGAATATGATAGTGTTAATAGATCTTTGAATTCATTAATGAAAAAATCAAATATTGGTTCTTAAAGTGGCACTCCTGTCAATTAATCCTTACAACATTCTAGGAATTTCAGCAGCTCAAAATAATAAGAAAAAGCAAGATCTACTTCCATAAGCAAAAATTGTGTTACTCGAGAAATGGAGTTGTATGTTTAAACTTATTTTAAATAAAAGGCCTTGTATAATAATGATAAGTAAATTAATAATTTTATTTAGTTTGTTTACAGATCCAATTCGTAATGGAAATTATATTCTATAATTATTAGAATAGGCAGTTACAAAAAACAACTTTAAGTCAATATTAGAAGTTGAATTTAATGTTGATTCAGCATTATAGGCTATAAAAGCTATTGTAGATGCTGGAAATTTACCTGCATGGATAGGAAAAATAAATAAATCAAGTATAATGTAGTTAGATAAATCTGCTATGGGTTTATATTGGTGGCTATTAAAATAATAAACTAAAAAAATTGAACCTAACACTAATTAATTCACATTACCCTACAGATAGGAAGAGATTGATTAATTGAAAATTGTAACCTTACATTTTGCGAGAGAATATACATCTACCATATAGAATTTTAATGATCTAATTTTTTAATGTTAAACTGGAATCTTGTTATGTTAAATTGAAAATGAAATATTTTAATAGAAAATTACTCCCATTTATACAAAACCTATTGGAGAAAAATAATGTATAGCAAATATTAGAAAGGCTTTGGACTATTTAAAAGGAAAACCAATTGGTTAAAGGTTTGTTTGGTCTGAAAAATTAATATATGAAGGAGATTAATTAATAATTCTGGGTTTATTTGAAGATTTAAGGAGGTATTTTGATGGACTACCTTAAAGGTAGGGGGATTCATATTTTGAAGATGGCCCTTATCTAAAAAAATCAATTGTTTAAAGTAAAGGAAATTCTAAAATTGGGAATTTAATTTAATAAGAACCTTATTCTCTTATTTAAAAAGAAAGCAGCTTTGTTTAACCATAATAAGTCAACAAAAAGCTGATTTTTGATGATCCTCCTTAATTTGAATGGCTCAATAACTTTGGGTTTAAGATAAATTGGAATAATGATGTTTTGGAAGAATTCAAAGATGGGTAATAATTATAAATAATGCAATAGTATTATTATTTGCACAATAGTATAAAAGCTTGAAAATATCTAATTTAAAGGATTATAATAAAAACCGAATACTAATGCAGGTTGCTTGGTAAATATTAGAAAGGCTTTCAATGTATTGAAAGAAAAAATAGATATGCCTTTAGAGTTAGTTATAGAATAAGAAAAGCTGCTGAAAGGAGATAAGAAATACATTATAAAACTACTCACTGTTTTAAAAAATATTTACAAAAATAAATTAAAAATTAAATGAAATTTTCTTTATTTATAAACAATTAACTGAAATATAAATTTCATATAATTTCTTTAAGTAAATGGATATTAACAAAGTCTTGGAATTAGAAAATGAAAATGTTTTGTTGCGTTCAGAATTAAGATCATTATATGAAGAACTTGATTAGTACAAAATGTTTTTTTTATTTAGAAAATCTACTGATTAGAAATAAATTGAAGAGAATAATTGCTTAAGATAAGAAATTCTATAACTTAATTAAAGACTTTAGTAATCAGAATCTTAAAAATAGGTAATAACACTCAAATTGATAGATCAATAAGAACTTAATATTAAATTAAGTAAAACTATCATCAATTTGTAATAAAATATTAATGAAACATAATAAGATGATTTATAAAATATCAACTAATATAATATTTCAAACAATTAGAATAATAACTACATGTAGTAATTATAAGTTTTAAGATAAAGATACTAAAATAAAAATGAATTAGATAGTTAATAAAAAGATTAAGAAATATAAAAATTATATGTCTAGTTATCTGAATTATAAAAAATAAATAATAACAATAGATTATCTAGACCTTTGAATAAAGAAAACATGATCAAATCTTAATATAGGCCAAGAGGTATATCTGAAAATAAGTTTAATAATTTTGAAACAAATTTTACAGAATCAAGAATATTTCGTTGATTAATTTTATTTATTTTATTGCTTATTCTATTTAAATATAGATAATTTTCATTTCAAATGATATTTATCCATTAATTGTTTTAAATTAGTTAAGTAGGTGTTCATCATTGCTAACTGATCTTGTTTTTCATTTATTAAATTTTTGAGCCACTAAATTTATTAATTTCTAGCTTCTAATAATAGTCTGGCATCTTCTTAATCCTAATCTTTTCTAAGTTTAATAGAAACTTTTGGTTCTGTAAATTAGTATATTTATTATTAAGTTAAAAAAGGAGCTTTTGATAACAATTCCTTCACCTACTATATAACTTATCCTTGAGGACTTGTGCTATTTTAGTATGACTTTAGTTCAGCTTCATATTGCTAACATAATTATAGTTGATTGCTATATTAAACAGCTTAAGAATCCAAAAGTAATTTGAAATACATGACTAAGTTTTCTACATCCATATTTTTATCTACATCTTTTTTTTTTCCTTATATTTTTGCTTCTGATATTACTTAAAGCATTTATTATTTTAAAACAGTTATTCTAGTTAAAATTTATTCAATTCGAAATCTAAAGTTGATATAATCTCCTCGATATTATTAAAGTTTCTGTAATATTAATTATTCATCATCTTCTTCTCTTATTGTCAGACTCTTATTTTCCTTTTGGAATAGTTTAATTTAATCAAGAACAGTGGCAATATTTAATTAATCTTTTTTGATCTTCTTTTTTAAGAACACACTTACAATTTAAGTTAGTAATTCGGTTAATTCTTCACCTAAACCATGTGAGTTCTTTTTCATATTTTCTATCTCTTCTGTTTATTGTTCAATTATAAATTGATATTCTTAAATTTTCATGTTTTCATGATCATTACTAACATTCTTTGACTTATTATTTTATTATTTCTCCTTTTCTTTTTAATAGGGTTGTTACTTTTAATTATCAAGCAATTATTTTAATTCTTGAATTTATTATTCCTTTTATTTAATGATAAATTGAGACTACTTAAATTACCCTTCTAATTCATCTAACCTTGATTTTAATTCAAAAGAATCTGAATTTATTGAATTACCCACTAAAGCATCACTTCTTAATTTATTATATTACTTTTCTAGATTTCTATTTTTATCTTAAAGTTCATTAATTTACAATTTTAATTAATCAATTTAAGTGTTTTTATTTAGATTATCATTAGTTAATTTTTTGACTTAAGAAAATAATTCTCCAGATGATGTTTGTTCTGAATTCATTTCAGTCAACTCTAATTATAATTATTCATAACTATTTTTTGAATTATTTAAATCAGCCTTTAATTTTACAATTGCTCCTTCTAATGTTGTTATTTGTTATTCTTTTTTCTGAATAGTATGCTATAGTTATAAAATGTCTGATTCTTTTGATTATAAAGCATTTTAAGAAACTTAAAGTTCTCTTTCTAAGACTTTATTTTTCTTCTAAACTTAATGCATTTATTCTTACAATTCTATTTTATTAGTTGCCATTAAATTTATTTCTTTATCTTTTCCTTTATATATATCTAATTCTTATAAGGCCAATTCATATCTACTTTGATAATCATCTCTTTAATCTTCCACAAGCCTTAAGTTTTCTTCATTTTATTAAGCTCTAAAATTTAATGAATCAAATTTATTCTATAAATTGAAAAGAGCCTTTGATTTCTCATCAAAATCTATCATCTTTTCATTATACTTTTCTTCTAAATGTTAATAATCAATTCTTAATTTCATCTAACTTTACTCTAAATTTAATTGATTCCCTTTCAAAACAGATAATAATGCTTCCTAATTTTAAATTGTGGCTTCATGAGAATATACTTATTATTTTAATTCTCCATTTTCAACCTCTATTTATTTTAATTATGCCATAGCTTACATGTCTTAGGCTCTTTTTTACATAATTTCATGATTTTCTTTTCTAACTTATTGTAACTATGAATTTGATTCTTTTAATTAATTTGTTAAATCAATTATTTTTGTTTCATAAGTGACAATAGTTGCTAACTTTTAATCAAGTAAATCAGTTAAACTTTAAAGTTCCTTTTTTTACTTTTAATGTTGATCTGAAATTTCGTTGTAATCTAACAATTATTTTTCTAAAGAACTTAGCTTTTGACTTTACTCCATATATCTTTATTATAAAGAGCTGTATTCAATCGATTTACTTTAGAGAGATTGCATACTGTTTAGTTCAACATCATATCTCTTTTTTAGATCATCATATTAATTTTACAAATCCTATGATAATCTATTGCTTTAATTATACTTTTCTTGTATTTTTATAAGTTGATTTTCTAATTAACTTATTTATTAGACTTTATCATTTGCCTACTTTTCTTTAGCCCTTCTTAAACTTTCCTCTTCTTATACTTTATATTTCAATTCAGTTATAGTAGTTAATTATTCTTCTATCTTTGCAGTGTATGATTTAATTTCTTAATTTTAGGCTTCAATTTTAATATTCATGTTTTAGTTTTATTATTCTAATCTATCCCATTTTAATTATTGCACTTTGTTATTCTCTAAGTTAGATTCTCTTGATTAATTTTGTTATATTTCATAATCTTTAATTTACTTATTTACTTGTTCTAGTGTTAACAATTATTGTTGTAATTCTTCATTTAAGTTAGAAATTTCATTTCTCAATTTTTTATCATTTTATTATAACTTTAATATCTAAGCTTCTGCTTCTATAACCCTTTATTTCTATAAATCTCTTTCAGAAATAACCTTTGAAATTTCTGTCATGTATTCTCTCTCTCTAGAATTTAATTAATCCTCAAGATGTTTCACTTATTTGAGTGAAAGGGTGCGTTACTATTCTAGGTTATAAACTTTTTCATTCAAATTTCTAATTTATTCATTAAGACTGCTTACTTATTCTTGTCTAGAGCGTATTTATTCTTCTTTCATTTATAATTGTCTTTTTAGATTTTCTTATTCGGTTCCAAGGATTGACTTTTCATTTTACTCTGCTTCATTTGATTCCTTAACTTTGTGAATCTTTTCTTTTTACCCTAAAATTATTAATTCCTATTCTTCAATTTTTTACTTAAGACTTTCGTATTCTCTTCCTTTGTTTCCAACTTAAAATTATAAACTGTCTAACTAGCTTCTATATTCACTTTACTTTTTTAAGCTTTCAGTCAATTAATCATCTAATTAATTCTTTTAAGTGTTTAATTCCTTTATTTTTGTCTCATATGAAGTTACTAATTCCACTTTTTCTTATATTGTTCTATCATACATTCTTTTTTAGTGTTCTAATTCTACAATTTTCATTTCGGCTGCCCTGAAATTATCTTAAAGATTTTAATGCATAGTTGATAGTTAAGTTAATTGAGATTTTGATTTAGATTATTCTAATTATAATTATTCAATCTAAGCACTAAAGTCTTGAATTCTCTAATCTTTTTATTAGTTTTATTATTAAATTGTCTAAGATCTATTTTATCTAAAATTTGTTTATTCTATAAGTTAATCATAATCAATTTATAAATTTTATGATTTTGTTCTTTCTTAATTTAATTTGATAGATAATTCTTCAATTTATTAAAATAATTGTTTTGTTAAGGTTGTTTTTGCTTCTAATTCAAATTATAATTGTTCCCTAATTCTTTCATAGCTTCTCTCATTTTCATCTTTTGTAATCGTAATTATTGGATTTTAAGAGTTTACTTTTGTTTTTAATTCTTAATTTATTAGTACTTATTCTTTAAGCTTATGTTCGATATCACTCAATTTTGATTTCCACACTTTTTCTTAATTTTAATAATTACTAATTTAAAGTGATAATTCACCATTCTTTTTTCTCTCCTAAATAAATTAATCACCTTCTGATTTCATACTACTTTCTTCTAAAAGTCCTTGAATTTATCTTTAAAGTTATGTTATTGTTGATTCTCTCTAACTCAATTAAGCATTAATCAAGAATTTTTATTATTCAAGTTAGGTGATTTAAATTTAAAGTTTTCTAGTTTCATTCTAATCGCTTGATTTTGAATTTTATTCTAATACTTAATTTTCCAAATCTGAAATCTTCTTCAATAACTTAGCATTCTCATCTTATAGTTTTTACATTTCCCTTAAGTATGAATTTGATTTCAATCCATCACCACTAGCTTAACCTCCCTCTAAGGCTTTGGCTTCAAGTAATTATATTTTATATTTATTATTCTCAGTTTATGATGAAACCAAATTATCCTACAATTCTTTATTTTTTTTCTTATATTCATCAATTATTCTTGATTTTTCATTCATCTCTTTTTCAATTTAATGTGTTATTTTTGTTTAATCTATAAATTTACCTTCTGACAATTAAACATCCTTTTTAAGCTTTTTTATTTCCTCAAATAGTTTTTCGTTTTTTTCTTGCATTTCCAAAATTTTAATATTTTAATCCTTAACTACTCTATGCTTTAATATTAAAACTTCTTCCAATTTATTGATATAGTCTGTTAACACAGCAACATCTTCATCAGCTTCTTCTTAATTAAGTAAATGTAAGGTTTTTCTCCTCAAATTAGAAAATACTAAGTCTTCATCTTCAACTTATTTTAGATCATTTTATAAATTAGTTTAATCTTTCTATTTCAGTTGAACAGTTTTTTTTCTAACTGATTCTGTTCCATTTAATTGTTAGTTTAATTTTGCAATTTCTTGTTTTTAGTTTTCAACAATTTTGTTTAAAATGCTGACTCTATCAAAATCCATATTACTAGATGTTTGATCTTAGATCACAGAAGAAAATCTACTGGTGATCTATGATCTTGACATTGTTTTAGTATATGGTGAAAATTAAACACTTTTAGTTTTGAAGTATCCTTCTTAAATCATCGAATATTTAACTTATCTTAATAAGATGACTTCAATTTCTTCAATATTTAATTGATTGGCTTTTACATCAGCAATATTTTAAGATAATGCTGATGCAATAAATTTTATAAATTCTTCCTACGCTTATTAATGTAATGAATATAAAGAGTCTATAATGTAATATGTTGATTCAAATTGTAACATATTTATTGTAAAACATTATTGATACTTAATTAATCTTGACTTCAAAAAGTTTGTTATCAAAGGCTTGTCTTGGGATTACATTTTAAATGAAGAATTTAGTACTAATAATACTCTATCAATATCTTCTCCATTATCATATTACATAATATTGGAAGGATATAGATTTGCTTATACCATCTCTGCAAAAAAAATGTTAAGCAATGAAAAGGCAGCTGATTCAGACCCAAAACAGAGAAAAAACACTGTTAACATAATTAAATCTGGTGAAAACCCGACCTCATTATAATTTGAAAGAAATGTTTCTAATACCCTACCTGTGACTTATTTCAATGTTTCATATTCATTATCTTTAAGAACATGATATATGAACTCTCTTAATGAATAGTTGAAAACTCCAGGTATTTCAGCAAATGCAATATTTAAATTATTTTTAAGCTTTCTAATTTCTGATTGTTCACTCTGCGAAATCTTACTTTATGCTTACAAATATTCCTAATTGAAAATATACAGAAGTAATTACTGTTTTGGCTTATTCCTTTGTAACTCCAAACTAACTCAACCACTCAAGCGCCTTTGTATCCTGCAGAAATTAGATATGATTAGTATCCACAAATTTTTTTATTGAATCGCTTTCCTCCTTACAAATGTTGCATTATCTATGTAAAGCTTTTTCTTCTTATCCTGATTCTGTAAATACTCTTCCTTTATGATTAGAACACTTTTCACAAACAGCTCTTTTGCATCTAAAATATAGATATTATATTACCTTTTGCATTAATGTTCTTTTCCAAATTTTTTCTAACAAATTTAGCAAGCTTTGTACTTTCCTCTTTCACCAGAAATTAATACTCTTTTAAATAGAGATTGGTTTTTCTTCATTAAATTATGAATAATAATTTTATTTAATATTGTAAATAATTTCAATTTATTTAAGCCATTTCTTCTGATAATGTCTTAAATTGTACAAGCAGTGTCTAGAGCTTTTTAATTGACTTTTCTTGCTCGACAATTTTCTTATCCTTTTCCACAATAATCAGTTCTAGTTCTTAAATTTTCTATCTCAATTCTCTAATAATCTTCTCGTAATCAATCAGGTCTAGTTTCTACTTTTCAATTACTTAAATAAGTTTTATTATTTCTGATTCTTTGGTTTATCCTTCTTTAATTAAAATTGTAATCTTTTCATCTTGTTTAATAATTTCATTCTTGTAATCTTGATTATATAAAATGAGTTCTTAAATTCTTTTTTCTAACTCTAAAACATCTAATTCAAGCTTGCTATTTCTATTTTCTAATTTTGTCACTTTCTCTAAATGCTAAGTTATTTAAACAAGTAATTATTGATGTCTATGTTATTGGTCTTTTTCTGCTTAGGCTATTTTCCCTTCTAAATCTTTTATTATAGCTTATAAATTATCAATTTCTAATTTTTAATTTTCGCTTAATGTTTTATATTCATGAGCCTTCTTTTCTAAACCAATAATAATTAAATCTAGTTCTCCTACTTTCTTTATGTGATTTTAGGTTTCTTTCTCCAATCTATCCAATAAAGCTTGATGTTAATTTTACAATAATTAATGCTTATCTTCCAAGGCTTTAAGCTTTCTTTGAAGATCATCATTTTGAGATTTTAATTCATTCATTTTTTCATTAGTATTTTCTTTAACTTTTTCATATTCTATAATAATTAATCTGTATTTTTCCTTTAATCCTTAATGTTCACCTTCAACTTCATTAAATTTCCTTTTCCATTCTTCACATTCAGCAATCAATCTTTGATGTTAACCACTTAAATCTTTATGATCATTATCCAATTTTGTCCATTTCTCTTCTAAACTTACAAATATAATTTTAAGAGCCTTGAATTCCTTCTTGTGCTCCTCTAATTTAGCATCCTTCTCTGCGATATTATCCTCAAGATTTTTGATTTTTTGATTGTTTTGTTCAATTATTTGATTCAACTCTTCAATTGTCTTTCTATCATCTTCCTTCTATTTATGGTGATTGGCTTCAATTTCTGCAATTTTCTTAACTCCCTTAGCAATACCTGCCTCAAGGAGTTTAATTGTTTCATCTTTTTCTTAGACTAAATTTTACATCTAGTTATTATGATCTAATGATTGATTTAATTGATCTGAAGTGGTTTAGTATTATTTATTCATTTCTGCCAATCTATTTTTTAAGTCCTCAATAATTAGTAGTAATTCATTCTCTTTTCTATCATATTCCTCTAAATTTTATCTTTTTTCAATTCTTACTTGATCCAACTCTTCACTTTATATTTCATGCTATTTAGATAATTGATCATATTTAGCCTTCAAATCCTCAAGCTCCTCTTGTTATTAAATTATCACTAATTCATGATGCTCAATCTTTTTAAAAAGAGCTGCAATTTCAAGAGTAAGTTTTTCATTTTCTCTTTTTGTTGAATCCAATTCAATCAATCTAACTTCCAAATTTCCAATAATCTTGAGCTTATCTTAATTTAATTGTTATAAACCTAACAATTCTTTGTTTAATTAATTCATCTATAATTCCAATTATACTATTTTTTATTACTCTTAATCTATTTATGTTTATAATTATTCCTCGTTTTTTTTTTAAATCAAAGCAATATTAATTTAATAGTTTTTCTCTCTTGATGGAGTCATTGGAGAAGGAGGTTAAAGTTAAGAGCTTTAATTCTTTAAATCTTTAATCTGAAGATATAGATCTTTATTAGTTCTTAAAGAAGTCTCAAGCTATTATTCTAATTCTTTATTTGATTTCTATATTGAAGTTACCATCTCTTGAGCATCTTCTTGAAGTTTATTGGAATATTTATTCTATTCTTCTAATTGTGATATTTGTATGTCTTATTCCTAAATTCTTTTTCTTAATTATTCGTTAGCGTCTATTAATTACTTATCAACGTCTTAATTATTATTAATTTAGGGAGGTTAGTTTTATAATTCTTTCACTCTGTTTTATAATTCTGTTACTAATTTATGCTTTAGCATTAAGGTTTCTTCAATTTTTTCAATATATTATTTGAGATTAGCTTTTTCTTCATCACCCTCTGGAGTTGCTTTTACTTCGACTGATTTTCTTCTTAACTCTTGAAAGCTTTTATCTTAAAGAGCTGCATACTCACTCATGTTTTGATCAGTTTTAATTTATATTTCAACCTTAACATCCCTATTATGTTCTGGCTATATCTAACTTGATGGTTTTTTTTCATTTGATCTTTATATGACCACACTTTATGTCACTCGTTTGTGAGGTATAAATATTATCACTTTAGTCAGTAGAAAATCTTTCTCACATTGGGTTGATTTAACATTTCTCAAAATCTAAGCCTCAGCATCTTCTTGAGCATTTATAAAGATTTTAATATCTTCAAATTATTGATAAAAGCTAACTGCTAAACATTTGATAAAATTGTCATATCCCGTTTTTGGACCAACTAGTATTTGATTAATCATGTAGAAAGATGTCTAAAACTAATAAAAGTTGATTCCCAAAGAAAGAACATATCTTGTGATTCTAGTTCTAACAAATGGTTTAATGTTTTATAATTCTGATTGTTTAATTTTAAATCCTTGCTCCAATACTTAAAGGACCTAATCTATTTCATGTTGATAATCATAAGGTGTCCTTCTTAAATTCAATGGGTACAAATAAGAAGGAATAACTTCTGAGTATAATATTGTTAAGATAGTGAATGCTGATGCTTCAGAACAGAAACACAATAAAAATATTGTAAGTATAACTTAGTCTGGGCCATATCCTATTTCTGGATATTATAATAGAATGGCTCCCAAAACTCGACATATTTGTTATTGTAATTAATCTAATTCGAGATCCTTCAATAAATAAAACAAAAATTCCCTCAATGAATAATTTAGATTAAGCCAGAAGTCAATCATCGCCAATTGTAATTCTGATTTCATTTTCATGAACTCTCCTTTATCTTTTGCGCGGTCATTCTCTTTTTAAGCAAATTCGTATTCCTATAATATAAAATGGTACTACTTTCTTAGCAATGTCCACTGTTAGACCAGATGCCTTTAGCCAATCAATTGAAAATGTATCTTTTCCTAAACCTATTTTGTATTGTTCGATAAACTTTTTTATTGACTCGCTTTCCTCCTTGCAGGTATTGCAAATTCTGTGAGTTTATTTTGAAAATCCAGCATCACCTAGGACAGGTCCATGATGAGTCGCGCAATTCTAACAAACAGCTCTTCGACACCTAAAATTGAGATTCCTTTTCTTACCTTTTGCATTGGTGTTCTTTATGAAAAATTCCAAATTCTTTCTGGCAGATTTAACATTTTTTAAATTTGCCTCTTGCTTCGCTTATGATTACAGTTTTTATCAGAGCTTGGGTAGATTTTTTTGACATTTGGATATGAAAATAAAAAATATTTAGAAAATTTGATTAATATCATCACTTAAATTTTGATTCTTTCTGACTATAAATAATATCTCATACAAGCTTGTAAAATATAGAATAATATATATATACATAAAATGAATATTAACATTGAATCATACTATTGTTTATTTAATCGTAATATCATTTAAAGTGAGTTTATATTTAATTTAAAACAACTTTAATTAAGAATCAATTTTACATCATCTTAATCAATTTCACTTCATAACATCTAACCAGATTAAATTATTAGTAGGGAAAAGATAGGAATTCAATAACTAAATATATGATTTCTGTTAAATGTTTTCTCTTTTAACATCGCTTTTATTAAGATTCATCTTCAAACCTCAATTATTTAATTAATTATCTTGATTCTAACTCTTCTTTGCCAATAAAATTATTTTAGTTTTAATTATAACTATAATCTTGCAATCTTTCAACTTGGGATTTAATTTAAATATTAACTAAAATTCAGATGAAATAGTTTGAATTTTTGCTAAAATATTTGTAATAATTTTCAATCTCATAAATCTATTTACAAATTACTATTCTAAAACTTCTTAACAATTTTTATTGAATTGTTCAATCATCTAATAGTTATTTTATAAATAAAGTTAAACTGTACCAAAAAATTTCAATAATAAATTCCAATTTAATTGGCATCTATCGTTTAATTCACTTTTATAATATGCTTTTTGCTTTATATTTAGACAGTGTAATGTTTTTCTTCTAATACAAGTATTTGCATAATGCAGATATTTTTGCATATTGATAAAACTTATAAACATATATAGATTGACTATAGTGTGATTAAACTTTTTTATTAATCCTTTTTAGTATAAATAATTACTTACATGTTATAATATTTTGTTGATTTAGAAGCTAAATTTATAAATTTTATTTTTATTAAATCATAGTTTTATATTGACATTTCACTTATCATAATGAGGATTATATATAATTCATTTATAAATTAAAGATTTTGAGAATCATTAAACCTGTAGCGTTATCGATACACAGTTATAAAAGATAAACTTAATACAAAATTCAATATTTTATATATTTATGCTAATCATTCTTCTGATTATACTTATATCAAGAATATGCTTTTAAACTGTTGGCACTGTATTCTAAAAATGTCATATTTTCATCCCATCTTCCTAAGAGAGCTGGAATGTTATAGGCTGGCTTATTCAATGCATTATCTTTGTCTATCCCTTTTGGAACATTTAAGACTTCATTAAATAATGGACCCATAAAAACTGCGAAAGTGTTTCTGTTCAATTACCTCCTTACTGTCTCATCACTTTTAACAACCTATTAAATTAATATTTATTTATACACAATGAGGTGTGGCTTCCACTATTCCTCCAGATACTATTTATGCTGTTTCTCCAATCTAAAATGCCAAGCAATCTGGATCCATTCCTACTTTCATTATCTCTGCATATCTGTTTTTGGCCAATAAACCACCTTCTTAATCTGTATAATCTACGATTTTATCATTGTGCATATAGATAGGACAAGTTAAAGCTGTCAAAGCACTATGATCGTTGTGCCAACCACACCATTCATCAGTGTTTGGTCCATCATAATAATGCAACAATCTTCCAACATGAGAATCACCAGTTCTAACAAATCTGTATAATTTTCCCATTTCATAAGTATTACACTTTGAAAAGATGTATTTATCAATATGATAAGATAATAAAGCTCCTGTATCTACCATTAATCTACCTAGGTTCTTAAATGCCCCTTCTAATTCTGGGATTCTGTTTGGCCATACATTTTCTATTCTTATCAAACTACCTTTTTTCATTAAATGCTCATATTCCTTTCCTAACTCTTGGCATGAATCATAATTTGGATTATTATAAAATGACCCTTTCGATTTATCAAATTTGCCTTTAAACTAAATTTATCACTTTTTTCCTTTACTTATTCAACACCACAACTCCAACCTTTTGAATAAAATGATTCTGGCCTTTCTAGAGTTTTTAGATATTCCTGTGGTTGAACTGCTAATTTCTATGCCAAAGGTAATAGTTATAGCCTCATTTTTGAATAGTTAGGGATTCCACTAACAATTGCAAGTCCTAATCCATGTGATCCATAAGCCTCTTCAATTTTTGCATTTAAATTGCTGCTACAGTTTTATATCTCATCGTAGGTGAATCGCACTGCTTTAACTGTCTAAAAATATGCTCTAACAAATATTTTCTTTAACATATTATTAAATCTTATCAAATACTTAGATTACGAAATTTAAATTAAAAAATTAATCGACATTAAATCTTATATTGCTGTAATTGATTGAGATGATAATATGTATTGATTAAAAATATAAATTACAATATGTAAAAAAATAGTTAAGCAATTAGAAGGCAAAGTACACAAATAAAGTATTTGATATTTTTTTATTGTAATTATTTGTGCAAAGAAAATTAAAATTATAGAGAAATGCTTAACATGAATTTTGAATAATATACTAAAAGATAATTAGTTACTAAATAATTTTAAATGAAAAAAAGCTATGTGAAGGATGATTTCATCTATTCAGGTTGGATATGAGTTAGAATTAAAATAAGATAATAATTTAAAATGAGAATTTGTTTTACGATAATTAATAGGAAACCGTTTAAACATATAAGATTTAGATAAATGAAATTTAATACTGTCTACTGTATTCTAAAATTATCTTTTGTAGTAATTATATCATTATGTTTTTTTTTGTTTTCCTCCATCTTGTGGTTATAAATTAACTGTCTTTCCTTATATATAAAACTCACCGCCAGATTTTTCAAATCTTTATTATCTAGCTGAAGGAGGTGGAATTTTATGGGATAATCCAGTGTTTCTTTGTATTTTATTTTGGTTAGTTTAAATAGTCTATTTGATGCTAGTAAATGATGGACTTTACTAGTTTTAATTTACCGAATATAATTATGGTTAAGGTTATACATAATTGTTTTTCTATATATTTGATTATGAGATTTTATTTCCAGCATAACAATAATTATTATTATTGCTCTTGAAATTTGATTGATCTGTCCATGAAAAAATAATTTTAAGTTCATTATAAACTTAATCACTTGTAATTCTCTTTTAACAATTGAATTAAGTCATCTATTTAAGTAGATTCTTCATTTTATTATTTTATTCTGTTGAAGTAAAAAAATCCAATTTATCGATTTATAAATGTCCTTGTTAAGAATGGTCCTTCATTCCTAATTTTTAGATGATGGAATTGCTCATTTTTTATCCTGTAAGAATATCACTTATTATGATTCCAAAACTCCAAACATCTGATGTGTTCGATAATGTATTTTTTAAAATTTTTTCTGGAGGTGAATACACACATAAAGGTTTACTGCTATAGAGTTAATCGTCTAATTCTCCTTTTACTTCGCTTAAGCCATAATCTGTTACATAAATGTTTAATTAATTATCTACTTCTTAATAAATACCTTACCTAATAAAATATTTGAAGGTTTCAGATTTCCATGAGTAAAATGTTCATTATATGCTTTAAGAAACAGAGATATATTTAAAATTACTTATTCTTTCTATTTTTTTAATTGTATTTATGGAATAGCCAAAGCTCTTTCTAAATCACAGTTCATTAATTATGTTATAAGATATAGTGTTCCTAAAAAAGGACCGTTTTCTGATTCTTATAAACAATATCCTTCATAAATACATAAACCATGAATCTTTAATTTTTAAATGTGATTTATATTATTGAGTAATTAAAAGATATAAGAGGCTGGTTTATTTCGATATATTTTAACAACTTTTTCTTAATTTTGAAAAGTGCACCTAAAAATATTTTATTGTTCATCGATATTGTATTCGCTATTTAAAAACTAATTATTACTCATTTATTATCAAATCACTCTCATTTATTTATTTAATCAATGGAAATCTATTGAGTATCTCCAGTAGTTACGCAAATGCCATTTAATTATAAAAATTTTATTCTATTTCATCTGAACTCTCTAGATGATTACTTGGCTCATCTTATTTCCAAGTAAAGTCTTACTGTGATTATACTTATTATTGCCGTTCTTACCATAGTTTTATTTAGTTCCTCAGATTTTCGGGTAATTTGATACCACTTTAAACAAATTAAATTGTTTGGCAATTATCACTATAAACTAAACTATCTTAAAACTTTTAAGCTTGCTGACCTTAAACTTGTTTATTTGTTTCTCCAAATTATTCTTACGAACAGAAGTTTTCATTAATTGGTTATGAAATAGTAAATTGCCTAGTCCAATTAAAGGTATTATCTTGCTGCTAAATATTTTCTTAACCTATTTAATTATCCACTTTATTTTCAATTTTCTTTTTAATCTCTAACAAATAATCATAAACTTCTTTGCAATTAGGTCTTTTATTTTTTGAAGACTAAACCATCTAATTTACTAAATCTGAAAGATTTGGGCTTACTAAACTTAATTGTTCTAACATGAAAGCAATTTGTTCTTCTGTTTTTCTGTGATTTGAAAATCTATGTTGATTATTTAATTTTTACTATTAACAATTAAATTCCAAGATTATCAATCCAAAAGAATAAATAACTGACTTAAAATAATTCTGAAGAGTGGATATTTAACCTGATATTGATGCCGCAAATGTATCAGGATCCATGTAGTTAATATCGCTTTTGATTTCTCTCTAAATGCTACTGTCCATTCCAATCACACTAATCGCATGGTTAACATCAAATAATTTAAATTTCCCATCCTTCATTCTCATTATTTGATCAGGTGTTATGTATGGTAATGCAATTTCTTCTTCTTGTAAATCAGCTAAAATTGTTACAACATCAAGCAATAGTTACTAGATGAGGGTTTCATTTATTTTTTCTACTTATGCTACTTAGTAAAGACTTAATGAGATCTCTTCTAAGAGATATCCTTATCGGCAAACTTTTATCCCAAATTAATCTAAAAAGTCCATGTTTTTATGTCCTTTTATTTTCACTATTCCATCAGTCCTTCCTTAACAATGTATGTGAATTTTCATAAGATTATCTTCGCTAACCCCATCTATTATTAAGAATGTAAATATCTAATAATTTAAAACAACATTTTTACCTTTGATGAATTTTTTTTCTCTCTCAATTTAAAAAATGTGCGATTATTATGCTTTATATAAGGCTCTTAAGATATAAATTCAAACCTTGTTAAATCAAAATCCATAACTTAATTTTGCTCTAATATAATAAATATAAATTTTTATAAATGAATTATAAAAGTTAGTGAGTGAAATATAAGGTATAGATTTAATTTCTAAAACAAAGAATGTTTTTGTTTTTTTCTATATTATGAAGGAGTTTCCTTCATTGGTAAAAATAATATTTTGGAATTTATAATAATATTGGTTGGAAAACAATATTTAGATCATCCTTAGTGAATTGAGGCATTTTATGTCAGAAAACAGCAACAAAATACATTGAAAATATTATTTTATACAGAAATAATATTTAAGGTCATTTTTAATTTAGTTTATTAAGCTTTCCTCTAATGATAATTCATTTTCGTATTATATATAATTTGACTTTTTTCTATATGATATTTATCTTAATAATTGAAGAAAAACCATCAAATTAACAACATCAAAAATTTCACTTTAAATAGTCTTGAAAAATTCAATTTCTGATTAAATGAATTATATCAAAAAGTGCTTTCTTTATAATTGAAAATTTTCTTGAGAATTTTATAATCCAAATTTTTGTTGTATTCAAAGGAATATATTTAACAAATAAAAATCATAAAACAAATCTACTATTGTATGAACAATAATAAGAATTATCCTTTTTCATATTGTTAATTTAATATTTGAAAAATTTTATCATTGAGTAAAATATTAAATAATAAGTTGACAAAGATTGTGTTTTTGGTTCTAATTTCATATCTATATTAAAATTTTTGAATGAAAGATTGATTTTTAATATCTAATAACAAAAGGCTATAATACTATGAATAAATAAGTCTGATGATAAAAGAAAAGTTGTATGTCAATCTAAACTTTAATGATAAAGACAATTTTAAAAGTAAGAAATTTCAGATTTGAGTTGATTTGATGATGAATATTGAATTTTTTTCTTATTTTTTTAACTTATCAAAAAGGGAGAATCGCATCATCCCAAATTTAGCATGCGTTAATTCCTTTTTCCAAGTATATATATCCTTTCAATCCCCATTTGGTTGACCATGAGTTCTTGATTATGACAGCTTCATTTGTGTAACCAACAGCTAAGACTGAATGATTCACTTATCCTATACATTCAGAATATGGGAATATGTAATCCTCTTCTGTAGGTTAATAATACTTCCAATTAGATGCTTAAACAGCTACCTAAAGTGGGCCTTTTTCCATAGCACTCAAAAATGCTTCTTCATTTTAGGCTATTTTAGAAAATCCACTGATTTTATAGGGACCTCCCTTTTTAGAGCAACCCTAATCATAACCAGTCTAAGATTAGATTAAAGTAATACATATGGATATTCATCATTTGTTGTTACACCATTTTTTATAACATAATTTAGGGCTTAATTATATAGTCCACCATTGCATCCTCCAGGAAAGCGATCTCTTTAGCAATCAACTATTTATTATGCAGAAAGTCTTGGCAATTCTCCAGTTGTTATCTTGAAGAATCCTTCCACACTTCCTAAAGAACTAAATACATCGCTGGAACCACACTAGCCTTAGTCCTAAACCTCGTTAACTGCACCTCTTGATCTCCAGTCGATTTGATTGCCATTTATTTTGATAGATTCTTTTAAAAACAGAATTTCAGAGGTTTATGCAATCTTCAGATTCAAATAAGTTTCAATGAACTCTTCATCAGTAAGATCTGCGAATTGTGTTAATCCAAAAATCTTTCTTCCGATTATTTAATTTTTAGCTTTTATTTCATTAAGGTTAGCCTTGAAAACTTCTAATCTGTAGAGGAATTCAGTTCCTGAATATTTCTTGTTGAATTTGATCAAAAAATCAATGAATTCTGTTTACAACTATTCTTCTAATTGTTAATCAGTTTTACGGAGAATAAAAATTAATGTTATCAAGCCAAGAAACAGAAGTATCTTATTCATGAAATAAAATATTAATTTTTGAAATATGAATATAATTTTTATTATTTTTTATCGACCTCACCTTTTTTGAAGTCAAACAGATGCAAATATATATGTCGTTTTATAGAATCAATGAATTCCAATTAATTAATAGAGGGCAATGTATTTAAAGTGATAATTATCAGATAACTTCAATTTATATTTAATTAATTTAAAATTGATCAGCAATTGATTATTTAAAAATAAGCATCTCTTGAAAAAAAAATTAAACAACACTAAAATAAGATTTTAGATTTAGTTTATTAATTAAAAATGGCAAGTTACTAAAATCTAATTATTTATTAAAGACTGATAAATTACAGCTCAAAACTCTCCAAACAATTCCTTTAAAATTCATAAATTATAAATATGAACTAAAGATAACTTAATTTAATTGTAAATAGCATTTTTAAATAAATAAATTGAAATATAAATTGGTTTTATTAGTTTTTATCAAATGAAAATTGATATTCTGAATAGATTTCTATCTTATATACATTAATTGAAGTACTATTCTTTTGTTTTGGTAATCAATTGATCTTATATAAATAAAATAATCAGTATTGTTAATCTTTACTCTTTAAATTAAAACTTAACAGTAAAGCAGCCTAAAGGCTCTTGAATTTCATAAATCAAAAGTTATCAAAGAAATATTTGCTTAAATAATTTATATATGATGAATATAATAAAAAAATTAAATAATAGGTATGATTTATAATCTATTCATAAATTTTCTAAATTGAATTTAAGAATAATTATACTTCTAAAATTAAGATTTAGATTAGTCCATTAATAAACTAATATAATTTAAAGTACATAGAGAAATTTCCATGCTCATTGAGCACTTTGATACTTATTAGTTGATATGTATTTTAAATCTCAAAATATCTGACCTTAATCAAAAATAACTCTGTAGAAATTATTATTCTATCAAGAATTTAATCAATACCAATATTTTCAGCCATTAGTTTTCTTTAAATTTTGTAAAACTAAAGGGGATATTTAGAGATGTCTAAAGATTTTTAATTTAATTCTTGTAATTTCTAATAAAATAGATGGATGAAATTTATAAATAATATATATTTTAGCTAAAATGATTATTCCAGGCCCTCGATTCTACCACCCTCTCTAGTAGGTCTTTTATATTAAAATAAAGCAGTTGCTCTATAACTGTTAGCCGAGTGCTTAGTGAGAGTTGATTTTAGGTTATAGTAATTTTGTGTTTGGATGGGCTTGTGGATTCTAAGATTGAAAGTTCGCAATAATGATCCTATCTTAGATAATAAAGATACGAGGGATCATAATAAAACGATCCAGATTTTTGGTTTTGGTAAGGAAGAAGTAATTATTTTTATTACAATTTACCTCTTAAGTTGAAAAATTTATGAAAAATGTTATTAGGGAGAGTTTATACAGCCTTTTCAATAGCCTAAGAATTTTTTCTTCTAAAATAAAATAATAATTTGTCATAATATACGACTGAGAATTTTAATGATCAATTAGCTGAGATGAAATGAAATAGGGTTGTTCTCTCTATAGAGATGTCAAGTGAAATAGATGGGATCTTTAAAGAATTATTCTAGGGAAAGGATTTGTTTAGATCTTTTTAAAACTAATAATTATTCTTCTTTAAAATATGTATCTATAAACTGTGAGTTCATATAAGAAATAATACTCAAGTAATTTGGCAGGTCTAAATCAAAAAGAAATAGGAAAAAAAATTTGAGAAATGCAGTTAGCTAAAATATAATTTTATCTAACTGCATTTGCTCCTCAATCTGACAAATCTATATTTAAGCATAAATAATACAATTTTACTCAACACTGAAAAAATTAAGAATGACACAAAATTCACTAGTAAGAAAATTACATAAACTGCAATTTTTAAACTTTGGAATGACATCATATCATCATTTAATAAAAAAATAGGATATCTAGCGTTTAGTTGCTTTAAATCAATAAGTTTGTATATATATACAAGAAACCAGCCTTACCCAATTCCATTTTAATTTGCTTCATGAATTATTCCAAAACAACCGAATAATAAAATAATTAAATGAAGTATCAAATATAATTTTCGTGGTGATTTTTAAGTTCGTGATATAAATTCTGAACGACGGATTGTTCATTTAATATGATGGATTAATCATGGTTTAATAGGATTTAAGGATTTCTTTTCATTATATTGAATATGATTCTCTATTAAAACTCTGAGAAAATTCGAAAAATACCTAATATGACCAGCAAGATTTCTTTATTCCTAAAATTAATGTTATGATCGATCATTAGTGATTAAGCTCTAAGTATTCTCATCCCATTAGAAGATATATCAATCTATATTTCTTTCTCTCCTATGTTGTTTAGTGATTTAAAAATATCCTCTAGAGAAGATACTGAAAACAGGATAATAAAAAGCCAAATTAGATGGTCATAGTAATGGAATCTTGTCAGTCTGTTTC